ACTGGGGATTAGACCCAGGGCTTTCACACTGAGCTAGATTCCTTAAAAAAGTTTTTTTTGAGTTTTTTTTTTTTTTTTAAATTTCTAGCTAAGTTGCTTGAATTTAGAATCTTCCTACTTCAGCCTCCCAGTGTGTTGGGATAATAGGTGTATACCACCACATCTGTCTTACACTTGTATTCTCTCTCTCTCATAATTTTTTTTTTTTTTGACAGGGTTTCCCTATGTAGTTCAGGCTGGTTTTGAATTCAACCTTGAGGTGATGCTTCTGCCTCAGCCTCCTAAGTGTTGGGATTGTAGCTGTACACCACCATGCCTGGTTCTGCATTTATATTCTTAAGTTACTACAGCCTCCTAGTAAATGTGTAGTTGAAGAGTCACCTAATCTGATTTATTTGACACTTGGGATTTGTATCATGAAATAGATTTTTGAACTCTTGGCAATTTTTTCTTGAGTTGTAGGACATTTTCAGTGTTAAAGAAAAAATTAGTTCTATAAAAAAATTACGATTATAAAACCTGTTACCCACATTGAGGAGTTTCATAGATGAGTGAAACTTAGCCAGATTCTTTGGATAAAAGATTGTAAGATAAGACAGTAATAAATTGCAAGTCTAAGTAGCAATATCTGCTTTCACACACAGGGAAGAAGTTTTCCTTGTCATCTCTTTAATTTGTGTGTCTTAGTCTTGTGCTAGGAAAGACTAGTGCTAGAAAGCAAGTCACCGTCCCTCAAAGGCTGGGATTTGGAGGCTGTTGCCTCAGGTTCCCTGGCTGCAGAGGCAGTGACTCTGTCCCTGTCATAGACTAACCCAGTGGTTAAATTTTCTAGTTACGTGGGAGCCTGTGTTAGCAGAAATTGTGGTAATCTTTCAAAGAGTGTTGAGTAAAAGGAATTAGATTCAGAAATTGGTATGCATTATTTATATTCACTGATTTCATCATGGATTTTGTAGGTTATTGAAATATTCCTTAGTTTTATGGAAACTTTGGGAAATACAGGCTAGCATGGTTTAAGGATTCAATTTAGTGATTTTACTTGACATTTACTTGAAAAAAAACAAACACATTACATGTGACTGGTATGTGTAAAAGGGTACAAGGCATCCTGTGGTAGTATTTTATAATCTAGCCTATTTGACTACATACACTATAGGCTAGTTAGATTTGTTGTTCCTTCTGTTTTAATGAAAGTGGTGGACTCTTCCATGTTTCTGAGGCACATTCTGGAGCAAGGTTTTCATATTGTGTTATGTGCTCTTAATTCTTTAGAATTGAAAGTTTCATGCCTTTCTTCCCTTTTTAGGCAATGCATGAACCACTGCAAACCTGGCAAGATGCACCATACATTTTTATTGTACATGTTGGCATTTCATCCTCAAAGGAGTCATCAAAAGAAAATTCACTACGTAATCTTTTTACCAGTAAGTTCATTGTTTTCTTAAATTTTGTGTTATTTTCTACTTGTGTCATACATAGTAGATAGGGTACAATTGCTTTAGATGAAAGAATCATTTAGTAAGAATGTTTTTGTGAAGTAGAAAAACTGGAGAAAAAAAATTAACATCTTTCTGCATTCAGTATTCCCAGGCACTTCCCAGGTACTTCTTTCATACATGCTTCCTTTTGAAGTATTCCAGGTATCGAATTGTGTTTTTCTTCCTCCTATTAAAATTTTTAATTAGTATCATGTTCTCAGTATTCTCTAAAGTAGAATTGTTAAAACTTGGTCAGGGCCTGGTGTGGTGGGGAGAGCCTATAATCACAGCACTCAGAAGGCTGAGGTAGGAGGACTGCTGCAAGTTCGAGTTTAGCCTGGGCTACATAGTTCAATGCCAGTCTGAACTACATAGCAAGACCCCATCTCAAACAAACAAACAAACGTGGTCACCAAGTCAAAAATCATTAGCATTGGTACTTCTTTGATGTCTCAAGACTTTCTGGTACATGTTATCCTGTTTGTGGAGTCATCACTTGTACTTAGAGTACCTCTCTGGTTGTATTTTCTGTGGTTTTCTATTTTTCTTCTTTCTGCCTTGCAGTTTCCTTTCCTACCTTCTTAGGTAGAATACTGAATAGAAACTGATGGTGGCCATCTTTGTCTTTTCCTGACTTAATTGGCAATATTTATACATTTGCTGTAAGTGTGATGTTTACTGTAGATTTTAAAAAATATTCTTCATTTGGTTATGAATGTTCTTTTTTATTGTATTTACCAAATATTTTCCTTTTTTCTTCTGCACATGCTAGGCAAATACTCGATCACCTGGTCACATTTCTAACCCTTCTTTAAAAATAATACAAAGAAGTGATGCTGTTTTATCAAGTCATTTGATTGTATTTATTAAAATTAGCCTTTTTTGTTTAATATGTTAGTGTGGCACATTATATTAATTGGCTTCTAATTTTAAATTTTTCTTGAAGGTGGGTTCAGTGGGGCACACCTATAACCCCAGCACTTGGGAAGCTGAAACAGGAGGATTGACATGAGTTTGAAGTTAACCTGGGTTACGTATCAGCAGTGAATTCATAAACTACATGGCACACCCCTTCTTAAGTTTCTTGAATGCCTGGGACTTGGTCTTGATTAACACCCATTGCCATCCCCACTCTCTGTCAATAGCTACATTGCTGAGTTCTGTTAGTATTTTATTAGGGTTGTTGTCTTATGTTCAAAGTAAGATTGGCCTATAATTTTTTTCTTACACTGTCTTCCTATGGATTTGGTTGTGTTAGTGTCATGCAATGAATTGGAGAATGTCCCTTTTAAAATATTCTTTCAAACAGTTTTTGTAAGTTTAAGCTTATCCAATCCTTGAGTGAATGGTAGAACATGTCTGTCATACTGTTTTGACCTGATGATCTTTTTGTCCACCCTCCCCTGACTGATTTTAAACATTTATTTTCTTTAGGAGTTATAAGTGTTTTGATTTCTTTTTTTTTTTCAATCTTTTTTTGGAGAAATTGTTCATTTCACTGAAGATTTCTTCTTTTTCTTCATTTCTTAATTAATTTCGTTTTTTGAGGGGTCACAGGGTCACAGTGGAAGTTCAGGACAACCTTGAACTCACTATGTGGCATAGTCTGGCTTTGAACTCACAGCACTCCTCCTGCCTCAGCCTTCAGAGTGCTGAGATGATAGGTGCATGCCACCATACCCAGCAAGACTTCTAAGTATTGATGAATTTATTCATGATATTTTTTTTTTATAAAAATCCATGATATCAGTAGATTTTACCAGGCAGGTGCTTTTGCCACTGAGCTAAATCCCTGGCCCTCAGTAGATTTTACAATTCTTAATATTGCTTTTGCCTTTTTAACTTGTTAAATCTTTTTAGAATTTTTAATTATTTTTATACCAGTGAATTAGCTTTTTGTCTTTGTTAATTTCCCAACATTTCTTTGTCTATTTTATTAACTTCTTTAATTTTTTTTTAATTTGACACTCCTTTAAACTTCTCTTTCTGATTCTTATGCTAAATATTTAACTCCCAATTGAGAAATGGGTCTTGTGCCCCGTGGAGGGATAGGGTGTATCAGATCTTGGCAAGCCTGTAGGCAGTCTGGTGCATGTCTGGACCCCTGAATATCTGCGTGCCTCTTGTTGTTTTGGGCCATGGCTTGTTTATCGGTAAACAGTCTCAGGAAGCAGTTGCTGGTATTTATTATTGGCCTTCTTTTTTCTTTCTTTCTTTTTTTTTTTGTAATTTAAAGGATGGAAGAGGAGCCCTGCTCCATTTTCTTTCAGCCTTTTTATGCATCAAACCTGGCTTTAGTCCTTACCCTTTTTGTTTGACTCCTGCTAATTTCAGTGCTCCCCTGAGAACTGCACTTAGAACTACCACAGCCTGCCTTTGGGCCCAGAGTCTAACATGAATGTGGATTTAGCTCTATATGTTTTTTTAAAAAATATATTTTATCCATTTATGGTTTAGAGCTAAGAAGATACATTAACTATACCATTTGAAAGTTCTAGAATTACCTTTCTAAAAGAATTTTATGTTCTCTTCATTAAAACCTTTGGTGACTCATCAGTGCCTATAAAATGTCCACATTTTGCAGCAAGATTTATAAAACTTTACAGTGTTTTCCAGTTTACTTTTTGTTGCTTTATGTCAAAATACTAATGTATGGCACTATGTACAGCTTAGACTAAATTTTTTAAAGTATACCACACAATTTTGAAACTTGCAGTGGTGATGATTGAACCTAGGCCTTCGACATACTGGGCTAGCACTCTACCATGAGCTGTATCCCCAGTCAAAACTTTTTGATTGTGTTATTTTCTCTGTATGGAAGGCTTTTTAATCTGTCTTGGAAAGTACATACCCAGCCTTTTTGATCTGGCTCAGAAATGATTCCTCTGGTATTTCCCAGCTCCCCTTCCCTGCTAGGTGGTAATCCATGAGAGAACACAAAACATCTTACTCATCTTTCTGCCATGTTTTTTTGCCTGCCTCCCTCCCTTCCTTTATTTCCTCCCTCCCTTCTCTACTTTCTTTTGCTTTTTTTTAAATGGCAGATAGTTCTTTCTTTATTGCAGCTACCCAGCTCCGCTATGGTGGTGCAGGGGCAGCTATAGCCAAACTATAAAGTAATGGATATGTCTGTGTTACAGTGAAACTTTGTTTATAAAAATAAAGGTGGCTAGAATGAGTCTTTGTGGTATGTTTTTTCTAGACTCTGGCATACAGTAAGCAAAAAATGTGACACAGATAGTCAGTGTTATCTTTGTTACTTGTTGCTGAGACAAAATACCTGACACGCAAAGTTAAAGGAGGAAAGGTTTATTGTAGCTCAGTTTGTAGAAATTTCAGTCCATAGTTGGTTGGCTCCAAGGCAGGGTGGCATGGCAGGGTGTATCACAGAGGAGAAACAGTCCACCGGGCAGGCAGAAGGCAGTAAGCAGCAAGCAGTGACTGCAGCAAGCAACAGTGGCAGCGCTCTTTCTGTCCCTTGTATTCTATGCAGGCTTTCAGCTTTTAGGGTGGTAGCACTCATACTCAGAGTGGGGCATCCTTAATGCTAGCATTGCACCATGAATCAGTCCCAGCATCACACACTAGATTTCAGCCAGCAACGAAAAACTCTCACCTATGACCGCAGGAGGCTTTGGAGGGACATCTAGATACAAGTCATTACAACTACTTATGTGTCCTTTTGTTAAGTTGTCATAATATTTAGATTTAATAACCAGTTCTCTGAAATTTTTTTGATTGCTATTATGAGTTCTTTCTTTTATTATTAGACTTGGTTTACTTTAATAATGTTACATCCTTTTGGCATGATAAACGGTAGGTGGAAAATTTTGATCAAATGGCTGTTATCATATGTCTGTCTCTAGAGATTATTACCTTTTAGGTAAATCAGATTTTTATTAATCATATCAAGAAACTACTCCAATTGTTTTTATCAAGTACAGTTTCTTTTTTAAAATTTTTTTTGAATTTATTTTAAAGAGAAAAAAAGAAAATTTTAAAACAAGGTAACAAGAGTAACAATGGTTAATACATTGCATATTGTTACCTTTAAATTAGTTACTCAGAGCACAAGATACAAGGCATTTAATTGTACAAACACTATTAGCGCAAACCTTTCTTTTCAATGAACTAAGAGAAATGGGCAGTATAATGATCTTAACTATCTTACATATATATAATGTATATTTATATATTATTTACACACATATATATATTATTTATTTATTTATGCTTTTCCCTTCTTTTCTTCTTTGCCCCATCCGAATTTCTTTCCTTTTGGACAGTTTCTTCCCATTTTACAATATATGTTGTACATATGGGATCCTTATTTACTTTTTTAGCTTCTCACACTAGGGAGACAATAGTGTTTACACATGTGAGTCCGGTTTATTTCACTTATGAGTATGGTCTCAAATTCCATCCATTTACCTATAAAGGTCTCAAGTTTATCCATCTTTATGGCTTAGTAGTACTCCATTTTAAAAAAAGACCGCATCTCTTTTAGCCATTCCTCAGTTGATGGGCATTTGGGTTGTTTCCAAGATCTAGCTATTACAAATTGTTATCATACTATAAATATGGGTACACATATATTGCTGTGGTACGATGCTTTTAATCCTGGGAAGATACCCAGAAGGGAAATAGCTGGATCAAATGGGACCTCCAATCCTAGTTTTTTGAGGAGTATCCACACATTTCCACAGTGGTGGCACCAGTCTACATTCTTAACAGTGGAGAAGGGTTCCTTTTTCCCCACCACCCCTCCAGCATTTGTTATTGGTGGATTTCTTGATAATAGCCATTCTTTCTGGGGTAAGATTGAATCTAAGTGTCGTCTGCATCCATGCCGATCTATGCTAGTAAGCCAGTAGTAGCTTTTTGGTGGGGTAGTGGATAATCTCAGTGAGCTTGTGCCTTTTGGCCAAGGCCAAACTGATTTGGCGTGTAGCCATCAGTGCACCTTCCTCAGGCCTGAGCCCAACTGGGAGCCACTAGATGGAGCCAGCAGCTGCTCTGAGTTCTGAGCTCAGCCAGCCCCTCTCCATGATGGCTCCCAGCCAGTTGCTCTTTTGTGTGGGACGACTAAGCCCTCAGCACTCACTGCCAGCTAGTGCAGTCCTTCATGTCCGCTGCTCCCCTCCACTGCAGTGTCTTTCCGTGGAGGCCTCTGGGGTCGCCAGCAGTCACCATGTGTCCGCAGGTTTGAACTGCTCTTCTCATGCAGAATCTCGTCTCAGGGAAAAGGTGCCGCCATGCCAGCTACCTCCTTCTTTGTTGGAGTTTGTCTCTTCATTCTCTCCGTGGGCTTCAATGCATTCTTCAGATCCTTCCTGGGTCCAGGGGACCCACTTCCTTCTTGTCTTCTTTGCATTGCTGTATTCCAGCATCTGGGCGGCAATTCTCAGGCTCTTTCTCTGCTGCTAACCACTCTGTTACCTTGGTGCTCCATCAAGTACAGTCATAAAATAGTCAATTTTAAAATAATTTTGTCAGTTACAGACAATCTTATAATAGCTGATAAGTTGCTTCAGAAAGACAAATCTTTCAGATTGATGTTGCCATCATTTTTTTGGCTTGTTTACTTTGTTGTTAGTTTTTGAAAAATATTAACTAGTGAGTTTGGGAAAGTCTGCTTCTGATTTTATTTGATGGTACTTTATGTCCTTCTGAACTTTTGAGTTCTTTTCATTTTGATATGAGGCTCCTGGATGTATGATTAGGAAGCTGGGTAGTGTTTCACTTTATTTTACTAGGAAGGCTGTATGATTTGTGGGAGTCCAAATGAATTTGTAGGGTTCTGAAAATGGTACCTCAGTGTAGCAAATTTTCATAAAATTGAAGTCAGAAAAAACCAGGGAAATACAGGTGAGGGACAACAGACAAAGATGGTGGCAGAACGAAGAAAGCAAATGCTATAAAACATATGAGTGATACGTTGAGAGGAAAAGCGTATGTGAAGAGTGCTTGGAATTTAGAGATGTGCACCCTTGGATAGCTTAGCTTATAGAGCGGAGGACTGTAGGCAGACATTTGTGGAACTTAGAGGAGGTGGGATCCTTCCAGGTGGCAGTCCGAGAGGGCTTTGTGGAGGATGTATTGTCCGTCTAGTCCTTATAGGATAGCAGTTTGGAGAGAAAGGCTTCCTTACCTAAGACTACCTAAGACTACACTTACCTAAGACTTCCTTAGGTAAGACTACTTCCTTAGGTAAGACAACTCTTCCTTACCTAAGACTACACTTCTTACCTAAGAGTGGGTGTGAAAGTCTATGGAGGACACAGAATGACTGAGAATACTTGATGATTTTCAGAGTGCTGCACAAATGTAATGCGGTGTTCACCAGGTCAGATGTATGTGACCCAACAAAAATGTTACTGATTGTTTTGAATAACAATAATGTTATTAATTCATTCAAATACTAGACTGCATTTTGGTTTAAATTTCTGGGTCTATTCAATTAATTCTGAGGACTCTATTTTGGCAGTGACTGTTGAAGTGAAGGGTCCCTATGGATACCTCACACTTGAAGACTATCCTCTGATGATTGTAAGTAAACATATTTTGGGGATTTTTTTGTGTGGTGGGGTTTTTTTGTTTTGTTTTGATTTTTTTGAGACAAGAGTCTTTGTTATATATGACCTTGGCATTCCTTGAACTCACTGTGTACAGTAGACTAGTTGTAAACTTGGAATCTGTCTCAGCCTCCAAGAGAACTGAGACTACAGGTGTACACCACCATGCTGCACATGACTTTATTTTTAACGTCAGCATTACCTGAGTTTAGCTTTAAAGCTTCTCCCTGTTTTCTGACAGTATGCTTTTTTAAAGAATTGTTCCTGCACCGTTGAGAAAATGTTCTTGATGTTCCAGAATTTTCAATGGACTATGACCTTGGCAGAGTTAGTGGCCCTATAAGCCTTGTTTTTTAACCTATAAAGTGAGGTTAATATTGTATGGATTTTGGACATGGAAAGTACATCAAAGGTCCTCTCACATTTCACATTCTCACAAGGCATGTCTTGCTGGAACCCTGTAGTTTCTGAGCCCATTAGAATAACTAAATGGCCACACGTTCTCCTCTTCACTGTGTGGATGTGGGAGAAATGTACCTCTGTGTCTGAAAATATCTGGTCTGTTTTCAGGCTATCCTTGTTCATAGTTGCTCTCCTTCCTTTCTCTTGGAGAGTTTTCCCACTGTGTTGTGTTTTGTGATTGCTAGATGCATCCCTACCTTGTTTTGCCTTTTTTCCTCTTCCATGTTGTTTTCACCTACATGATTTGGGGTTGTAAGGTGAAGAAATTATTAATACGGGAGCAGTTACTTCTTGAGGATGAGTCCTTGTGTAGTCTGTCTCTGCTTAAGAGACTGTGTTTTATATTTGCTAATAACTTCAAAGATAAAATTGCTGGTCAAGTAAAAGGTAGAATATGTACCTCGTTATTTTCTTATAATTTGTTAAGATCGTATAGATTCTAAATACAGATACTGGACTCTTGGCTCTAATTCTCCTTTTTGTCTCTTACCCATTGGGTGACAGTTCTTCATGGTGATGTGTATCGTGTATGTCCTGTTTGGTGTTCTGTGGCTGGCATGGTCTGCCTGCTACTGGAGAGATCTACTGAGAATTCAGTTTTGGATTGGTGTTGTCATCTTCTTGGGAATGTTTGAGAAAGCTGTCTTCTATGCAGAATTTCAGAATATTCGCTATGAAGGAGAATGTGGTATGTAATACATATTTGCCAGTTTCTGGAAGTACGTTTTTTTAAAGAATTACTCCTGCACAGTTGAGAAGACTTCCTTGAAGTTCCAGACTTCCCATTAGACTCTGACCTTAGCAGAGTTGGTGCCCTCTAAGCCTTGTTTTTTAACCTATAAAATGAGAAGGTCGTTGATGAGATGTATGAAAATTTTCGTAAGATTAGCAGTTGTTAAATAGGTTTACATTTTCAAATACTTACCAGAATAACTTAAGCAGAATCACTTAAAATTGTGACTTTAAATTTCATAACTTAGAGCTTTAGTGGGGTACGAGTAAGTTTACTGAAATACGCTTGCCAGAGATAAAGTAGTGCCCATTTTGGAAATGATTATTACCATCATCAAATGTCAATTGCCATTGATATATACATCACCATTATTCTATACATCTCAGGAAGAAAGTAAACAATGTCAATTTGATTGTAAGATGGTTTTGATTTTAACACAAACCTTTATTTATTTATTTATGGGACAGGGTCTCACTGTGAGGTTCAGGCTGATCTTGAACTCATTGTGTAGCCTAGGCTGGCCTTGAACTCACTGTGATCCTCCTTCCTCAACCTCCTAAGTGCTGGGATTACAAGCATGCACCTCCATGCTGGCCATAAACTTTCATTTTAAAGGTCTCAGTTCATCTAGGAATTGATAAAAACACAATAATACCAGCTGGGTGTGGTGGCACACACTTGTAGTCTCAGCACTGGGGAGGCTGAGACAGGAGGATCTCTTTGAGTTAGAGGCCAGCAGAGGCTATGTAATGAGTTTAAGCCTGAACTATGTAGTGAGACCCTGTCTCAAAAAAAAAAAAAGAGAAAAGAAAAAAGATAATAGGAAGAAGCTTATGGTTTAGTAAGGTAAATTAATTATAACAGAAATTCTTCTGTACTGAAATAGCTTCAGTTCCCTCTCAGACCATTTAAGTATTAATAATTATTGTTTTAGGTTATACTAATTAGATCTTTTCCATGTCTTTGTGAGGATTGGAAATAGCTATAAAACTGAAAATCATATACATGCAAGAATATGTGTATGTTTTGTGCTTTTCGATGTATAGCTATACGTCATGGCTTTTAGAAATGGTAGGGGAGGGGGCTGGGGATTTAGCTCATTGGCAAAAGCGCCTGCCTGGCAAGCGCAAGGTCGTGAGTTTGGTACCGGAGAAAAACCGGAAAAAAAAAAGAAGTATTTGTTTTTAGTAGGGTGAATCCCAGTGCTCATTCTGAAGTTCTACATTTTGGCATTGGGATTAAGCCTTTTAGTGAGCTTAAAATACTGCACCATTTCTTCTTTTCTTTTTCCTTATAGTTCAAGGAGCCTTGATCCTTGCAGAGCTGCTTTCGGCAGTCAAACGCTCTTTGGCTCGAACCCTGGTCATCATAGTCAGTCTGGGATATGGCATAGTCAAGTGAGTATTAATTTTCTCTATGAGAGAACTAATTAAAATACTGACTGAATTGGTATACTATTTCAAGTTCCCAGTGTTATAATTCTGGGAGAGCTGATAATCAAAAAGTAATTTTCAGGAAAGTTATTTGAAATTTGTAGCATTGTAAGTGTTAGGAAAACTTACGGGTTCAGGCAAGGCACACCTGCAGGAAGACCTACCGTGTAGTAAATAATGTCAGAACACCAACTCTTAGAATAAATATGTGACTTTTCCAGAATACTTTTTCCAAATCAAGACTTTTTATAAGGAAGAGCATGACTATCTGAAAAGTCCCCCCCACCCAGAAAAATTTTATTGAGTGCCCCATGTACGTTAGGCATTGTTTTAAGCCCTGGGTAAACAGAAAGTAAACAAAAGATTTACAGTTTACATTTGCAGTTTCGTATAGACATCCTTGAGCTGAATATATGATGTCAGTGAAAAGTACTACGGAGCAGAGAAAGAGTAAGGTGACTGGGAGTGCTGGGCAGGGGCTGGCGCTCGCAGTTCAGTAGGGTTGTCAAGGGAAGCTTTGCTTAGTGACTTTTAAGCAAATACCTGAAGGAAGAGGGAGCTGAGATGTGATCAGATTCTGAACGTGCTTTGAAGGTTAGAGCCAGTGGAATGTCCTGGTGAATGAAATGTATGGAGTGAAAGACAGTAGGAGCAAAGGATGATGCCGTTTTGGTCTGATCAAGTTTCGGGAAGAAATTGACATTTACTGGGTTCAGGAAGCACTTAGATGGCATATATTTGGGTAGAGCAGGATTAGGAATTCAGCTAGATGGCCACATGGAGGAGGTAAGGGAGAAAGGGTGGGGCAGAGATAGTAAGTTTAGGCATCATCAAGATTTACATGTTGTTTAAATTCATTAGACTGGGGGGCTGGGGATTTAGCTCAGCGGCAAAGCGCCTGCCTGGCAAGCACAAGGTCGTGAGTTCGGTTCCCGGTACCGGAGAAAAACCAAAACCAAAAAATAAAAAAATAAAAAAATAAAGTCATTAGACTGGATTTGGCTGCCAAGAAAGTGAATATTTATAAAGAAGACATTCAAAGACTGGGCTTTTGAACATTTTCTGTTATTTAGAAATTAGTGACATGAAATACAGCTAGCAGAGGAAATTGAAGATTAAGCAGTATGGTGGGAGGTGAACTGAAGATTGTGTTTCAAGGAGTGATTGTGTCAGGTGCTGCAAATAGGTCATGTAAGGTGACTGAGAAGTACTCATGGGACTTTATTGCATGTTAATTGTGTTAGTCACTGTAACAGGAACAGTTCTGATAAAGTGCTAAGGACTGGGACAGAAGTCCAATTGGCAGGAATTCAACCGAGAATAGGAGAGAATTGGAGTTAGTCAGATACATAGTTATTTAAGGAGTTTACCTTTAAGTAGGATTAGACCAATGGCGGAGAATAGTGTTAATTCTTAAAATGCATTTATTCATTTAACAAATATTTAAGTGCTTCCTGTATGCCAGGAAGTACTCAGAATATCGGGGGTTTAATAGCAGAGGGAAATTTTCTGTGTCCTTAAAAAGCTTGTTTTTTCTAGTCTCTAACAAAAAACAAAGAAGGAAAGTGGTGGGGGGAGATTTCGCCAGGTGTGAGATAAGCCAGTGCATTTCATTTCAGACTGTACCACTATAATGAATCACTTGGGAATTTTGTTAAAATGTAGATTCTGATTCAGTAGGATTTCGCTTTGTGTCTGTGTGCACATGCACACATGTATATGTGCCTAGGATTGAACCCAGGGCCTCACACTTTCTAGACAAGTGTTCTACCACTGACCTACAACCCCAGCCTCTCTCCCGCCTTTAAATTTTGACATAAGATCTAGGTATGTTGCGTAGGCTGGTCTCAACTTCTGATCCTCCTACCTCAGCCTCTGGAGTAGCATGTGCCACCCATGCCTGGCTAGGATTTTTAAAATTAAGGATCTAAGATTTCCTCTTTCAAACAAAAGTTGCTCAAAAGGCTTTTCGTATATCTTTGAGCTTTGAGCTTGCAAATGTACCATTTATTAAAGAATTATTAAAAATTTTTAGATTTGGTATTATAGTATATTTTTTAAAGCCCTCATTTGTTTAAAACACATACTGAAATGTATATAAATAAATGGTATGCTGTCTAGGACTTGCTTCCAGATAATATGAAAGGTTGGGAAAGCATGGGGTATACATGCAGCAGAACTAACCATAGGTTGGTAGTTGTCCAGACTAGGTGATGTGTTTGTCCATAGGGCTTTGTTATATTGCTTATTGAGTGTTCCATATTTTTTCTTAAAGATATGTAAGATATATAACCAGGACCAGGTCGTAAGTTGTAATACCATAATTGCATACCTATTGTGCGAGTATGTTCCAGAGACGCCCGCGATAGGTAAAAATCCACAAAGTAGTGGTGTTATATTTATTTTATTATTTATATGTATTTTAAGGCTTTATAAACCCTTTCTACACTCCTATAAAACTTTCCCATTCTCTCATTAACCTTTCCCACACTCTTATAAACACTTCATATGCTCTTAAACGTGTTCTACACTCTTAAACCTACATAATTTTAACAACATGTAAAATTCTATATGGGTACTCACCAGTGAAGTATACTGCAACTTGAATGATGAAGATCATGAATTATGTCACTGCAGTACTGATGGTGATGAAGGTGATGATGATGAGATGAATGTACTGCACAGCTGAAAAGAGCAGTACAGCTCTTTTGAAGGCACCACTTCATCAGGTGCTTCCTCAGGTGGTGCAGTATCTTTGCCCTGGGTCATAACTGATCTCTTCTTCCGAGTGATGAATGTAGTTATGGGGAGTTGCTGGTGCTGCTTTTTCTTCTGAGAAGGTTTTTATAAAATTTCCATTGTATATAGTATGGTATTCATCCATGTATTACTGAAGAAATACATACTGTATTTTATTTTGATTTAATCTTTTAATATGTTTGAATTAGCATTTTTAATATTTTTTATAGTTTTACATTTTTAGGCAAAGATAATTAAAATCAAAGTATTATATAAATACCTATATACTGCAAAATCTCCGTGATACAGAATTAGATACATATTTTTTTAATTCCTGCAATACAGTGAAGTGCAATAAGTGAACTACGATGTAGCGAGGGACGACTTGTACTGTATTTTTTTTTTTTTTTTTTGGCGTTGCTGGGTATTGAACCCAGTGTCATGTATGTGCTAGGCAGGTGCTTTACCACTGAACTACATCCCCAACGCTTTTGATTTTTAAAAATTTTGAGGCAGCATCTCATTAAATTGTCCAGGCTGACTGAATTTGTGATCCTCCTGCTCCAGCTTCCTGAGTAGCTGGGATTATAGGGATGAGCCACTATGTCTGGCTCTCTTATGTTCTTCTAAGCTGAATTGTGTGTGTTATTTATCATGAAACTGTTGACCTGCACTAACATAAGTCACTGTTACTTAGCTTGTTGAGAGTTCTGTTTCCTGTGTACTCAGTGTCTTTTTGCTTTCTTCTTTAGGCCTCGCCTTGGCGTCACTCTTCACAAGGTGGTAGTGGCAGGCGCTCTCTACCTTTTGTTCTCTGGTATGGAAGGAGTCCTCAGAGTTACCGGGGTCAGTACTGTTTGGCCTGATTTTTTGTGATCAATTCAGTTCTCTTGGTTTTGTCTTGAGAGGATGCAGAGTACATTGGAAATGTCAGTGGTCTTCTACTACCTCTAAGCTCTGATTTTTAAAATGTATGTACAGGTTAAGTATCCCCTTTTATTTTAAAAATTTTTAGTAGTGCCTGTTCGCCATGTGTAGTGATTACATTCATTGTGGAGAATTGGTGCATGTACATGACACATCCAAATTCTTTTTATGTCCCTTCCCGCCTGCCTTCCTCCTTCCAGATTATCCCTTTTATGAGATGCTTGGGACCAGAAGTGTTTCAGATTTCAGAATTTTTCAGGTTTTAGAATATTTGCATACGTTTTACTAAATAAATGTTTCTAAACCAGAAATCTGAAATCCAGAATGCTCCAAAATATAAACTTTTTGAGTGTCACAGATTTGGGGTTTTGAATTAGAGAATACTCAACCTGTATTACTCATTTTTTTCTTTTTAATCTGTCTTTCAGACCTTTATAAATTTAATGTGTGATGTAGAATAAATGCTTCTCCACCTAGGTCCAGATTGATAATTATGTAATTTCTTCTCCCAGGGAGTGGACCCCATTCTTGAATAAGGGGCATGCTTTGGGACTAGGGACTTACTGGTTAATCCAAAGTATCAGTGCTCTTTGCTTATCTAGTACTTGAGTTTTTAAAACTTAGTGAAAATGCAGCAAGTTAAATTTCACACTGTCCTTGAGAATCACATTCCCTTTGGTAGGGAAGGAAAACAAAGCACTGAGATTTAAGTGATAAAGTATGTTAGAAGTGGATTAATGTGGTGAAATAGGTTTCCTTGGTCCATTCCAATTAGTATTTTATTTATCTAAAAAATCATTTTGCAAAAACCTCTTAGACTCAAGTTGGTAAATTCTGTAAACTTGGCTTTGCCCTCAAAACTGGATTCATTAAGCTTTGTCTTATTTTTTTGAGACAATGTCTCACTATGTAGTTCAGGCAGGCCTTGAACTCAGTATGTAGCTCAGGCTGCCCTGGAACTTGCTGTGGTTCTCCTCCCTGTCTGCTGCATGCTGGGATTATAGATGTGCCCCACTACAGATCATAAAATTTTGCAATAAATTTCCCCATAATTAAAACACTTTGGGATTGCAGATTTGTTTTTCAAACCATACTGTCCTCTGTATGTAATCTTCAACCCTTTTACCAATTTTTTTTCCTCTGTATGTCAACTTCAACCCTCTTACCATGTTTTTTTCTTTCTTCTGCTGATGCTGTAGTATTTTTCTTATTCTTTGGCTTTGATGCTAAACCTGGCCCTCTCAGCAGTTGATGCCTGTATTATTTTATGGATATCCTTTCAACAATGTCTTGGTGATTGCATTATTTGGATTACATAGAAAGCATCATATATAAATTTGTGGAAACTAACAAATAGTTTGGGGACAGATAATTGCCTTACATTTTATTTTAGGGTGTGCTGTTTGTAAAGTTTCATTTTATTACAGTTTGGGAAATCAATAATTCTTAGTACATTAACTATCGATACAGTAACCAGAAGGATTGTATTAGGCCTATAGCCTAGATTACAATAATAGGAACTCAGGATGGTATGGAGGTTATAAACATTACAACTTTTTTGATGTTATCACCTCTTACATGGATCTTAGTATTCTAGGAACTCTGGTAATTAGCAGCAACTTCATTGTATTGAGATTATAATTGTAATTTGTGTAACACTTAAGTAGCTATATGTTCTAGGTGAATGCTTATAAGAAGGGAAGAATGATGTCAAGTGTTAGTCCTTTTTATATTTCTTTTCAGTTCAAATGCAAAGCTATTCCAGATGATTATGTAAATATAAAATCTTGCACTGGTTTCTTCTGTGTGCCTTTCTAGCAGTCTGTTTTTCACCACCTCTTTTTCTTTGTCTGCAGGCCCAGACTGATCTTGCTTCCTTGGCCTTTATCCCCTTGGCTTTTCTAGACACTGCCCTGTGCTGGTGGATATCCTTCTCACTGGCTTGTTTGATGTGCTCCATTTTCTTCCCTTGGAGATGGGTTTTTGCTAATCTTTCTGGAGAGCTTTTCCCAGTTTGTTGATGTCTCCTTGATCTGGGAAATACTGTGTAATATTTTAAGTGTTAACAACTTGAGAGTTCAGGTAAGCAATTTTTGTTGTTTTAATTTTTAAAATCAAGAGTTAATGCTTGTGGACTGCATGCGAGTTAAGTCTTCTGGCATTTCTGTCTCTTACATGAGCACTTCATGTTGATTTTTGATTTATTTTCTGACCTTACTTTGGTATTAGAATCACTAGTTCCTCTTGATTCTGCTCTTCTTAGCTTCTAGCAGTTACTAAGAGCTTTGAAACTTAGGAAAAGTGGTTGATCCTTAAAATATGGTTTGGTTCTTTCGAAACGCTTACATAGGTTTAGCAGGTTTTAATCCTTACAAGGTGTTTTGTTGCCTTACTCAAAAGCTGACTTGGCACTGTCTGAACACTGCCACCCTTCAGAGTAAATACTGATCCATTTGCATGCAAAGTCAGCTGATAAACCAGTTTCTATTTGAGTAATCTTTTTCCTTCCACTTTGAAAATTAAACATTTTACTAGAGACTTACCCTGTTATGTGAAGGATTCCATTTTTTGAACTTTATCTTTTTGGGATTATTTTAAATTTGTTTTGGTTTCTTATTGTGACTTATAAGTTGGGAATTTGAGTGGATTTCTACATAGCAAAAAAATTTGTAATTGAAGTATCCTGGGTCCAAATAACCAGAGATTTTCTAGATTGGTCCTTTTCAAGTATGTTCTGTGAAACACTCTGAGTATTGGGAGGTGGGATTCGTTAACTGCAAGTTCCTATAAAGAGCTAAGTAAGTCCTGACTCCCTTATTTTTGTATCTTGTCCTTACTCTGAAAGCTGCACATGAGAACAGTCATAGTTTTCCTGTCCTCTGGCAAGTTCCTCATGGGAATATTCTGACATTGCTCTTGGAGCCTCACTGCTTGGGATTCTCAGTTAGTTATATGGTTTTCTTAGTTCACAGCTGTGTTAGGTAGCTTTTGACAGGTTCCATAAGACGGATGAGGGAGAGGATTTAGCATATTGGAAGGCTACAAGGCGTGAATGTAGTGATGATCCTAGAATTGATTAGTTGCGCCAGGTGAGACTAGTCACCTGCTATCAGGAGAAAAGATGTTAATTCCTTCTTCCCTGCCTGTTAACTCATTTTTATTTTATCATCTTGCTATTATCTTATATTTTTTGTCATTTTTGTTTTTCTAGAAAGCTTATTTATTTTTAATACTTTTCCTCTTCTTTATTTTTTGCTTTTTTAAAATAAGAGTAAGTTTTGCTAAAGATGGGAAAAAGGCTGTGTGGAGCAAGTTTGGGCCAAATAAAAGTAGGAAGAGAACTTACACCCTACCGGGTGAGGGTGGGCTATGTGCAAGAGAAAACACAGTAGCTGCATTCTTAACTTCCTCTTTCTCCTATCTTCTTTTCAGTGCTTATTGAAAATGGTGACTTTCTTACTAATCTTGGTGAGGTTTAGAATGTTTGTGAGACTTAAGTGAAAATAAAGAGAGCTGTGAAGCCTCTGAGATCCATAGCTTTATTGGTATGACCCCAGATCCTCAAAGAAACCTGAGAAGTAATTTACTTATCTTTCTGAATGTTTAATTCCTTGACTTGCAAACACATATTTATTAGCCTGACCCAGACAATGAAGCTATTAAAACTTCGAAGGAACATTGTAAAGCTGTCATTGTACCGACATTTTACCAACACGCTTATCTTGGCTGTGGCAGGTAAGTCTGAGACTTTTTGTTACTTAATTTTGATTCTGTGCTTCTTGTAGAAACAGATTCTTAACCTGAGGCTATGACTATGGATGGAGCATTTTCTGCATTTCACTTGGGGAAATGCTCTTGTCAAATCCTCAGAAGTGTCTGCGGTCTTAGAAAAGATTAAGAATCTCTTTAAGCGTACGAGGTGAAAATTAACATACAGTTTCAGCTCCAAGTACATCCTTCTCCTGTCCCTATTCCTTTTCTTTGGCATTCTTTTTCTTAAAAAACTGAGTGCCAAATAACATTTAGAAGCCTTTTAGAAGACATTACAACATGCTTATTTGGTGGTTGGTTATTTTTTTTTTTCATGTTTCATTTAAAAATTTTTTGTTGGTGCTAGGGTTTGAACCCAGGGTCTTCTGCATACAGAACAAGTGCTTCACCATTGAAGTATATCCCCAGCACCCCCTATACCCCCTCACTTGATTTTATTAAGTAGCTATAGAATTTTAGGTCTGGGTACATGGCTACTATAGTGCTTTTTTTCTCCGGTGTCATTAAGCATACATAAAATGTAGACATTAGGTAGACTATAGCCAGACTAGGCTGATATGTCTACCTTGTGGCCTTTGTATCAGGAATAGTGAGGTATGACCTATGATTGGAACCAGCTCTTCTGTTTGTGTTATAGTCATTTTATTAATAAATTTTTAAAAAAATCTGATCAGCTGATAAAAAATTAGGATCACTACTGTAAGGTAAAAATTATACTGATACTGCTGGAAAAGCCCCTTTTCCAATAATTTTTCTTCCAATTCTGGGGGTTACTGAAATATCTAGATGGTAAAATTATTACAGAACTATTCCTGAGTATAAGAGAGGTTGACTAGAATAAGTACCATTGGCCCTTGCTTATAGCAGGTGTTCAGGAAATTTGTATTGAATATATTTGTGAAAATGTTGGCAAATAATTGCGATGTATTGAGGTTTAGAGATGTGTGGAATTTCACTTAAACAGGATCAGGAAATGTACAACCAAAATTCATGTTCTGACCAAGTTTTTCATTTCATGTTAGCATCTATTGTGTTTATCATCTGGACCACCATGAAGTTCAGGATAGTGACTTGTCAGTCGGTAAGTTACAGGTACATACCCTTATGAGTCTCGTTCTGTTGCACACATGATGATGGCGTATGGCGGTGTTTATGTTCTTGTTATGAATATGAGGCTGGATCTCCACTCAGGGTTATAGCATTTACTGTCTCTTTAAGTATTCTGTGCTGTCATCATGCATGGCATGATAATTGGATTTTATCTGTTTTTGTTTTATTGGTTTGCAGTGCTGGAATTCAGATCTAGGGCCTTGTGCATGCTAGTCAAGCCCTTAATGACAGGACTACCCCTGAGCCCTATTTGTCAGTTTGGCTATATATTACAACACTGGAGAGAATTGTGTGTGTGATGACTGTATGCTGTCATAACCCAGGCTTGTTCTAACTAAAAATCTTGAACAAGCTGGGGTTGATGATACACACTTGTAGCTACTTGGAAGCCTGAGGCAGAAGGGTCACAAGTTTGAATCCAGCCCAAAAAACTTAGTCTTTTAGTGAGGCCCTGTGTCAAAGCTTGAAAAATAGTTTGTTATTTTTTAAGTGCAGGGACTATAGCTTAGTGTGAAGGCCCTGGGTTCAATCCCCTAGTGCTGGGGAGATGGGGGCTCAAAAGAAGAAATCCAGTGTATTGAACATGAGGTGTGTGTGAATACTACTAATCTGAGTAGAGGTGATGTCCTCAAGATCTATGTGCAAAGATTGTGGCCCATAGGATTTTTCTGGAGGTAGTTAAAGCTCTATTTTGGTAAAAATAAATGGAAATGAAAATTATGAAACCTAACAATGTAATGTTACTTTCCCTTACTGTGTATAAAACTCTTTCCTAAAAAGTCTCAGAGCTGTGATGAAGCTTTGACAAGCACTGTGTTCTGATGGTGCTCCTTTTTTTAAGACACAAGTACTGTGAGGAAGGAGCCTACATTCATTCACTTTACGTCCCCAGCATTGAGCCCAGTGCGTGGCACATAACATGTTCTCAGGAAATATAGCTCATGTGCATAAATGATTCTTGTTCTCTGGTAAGGACTTGGTGAAAAAAGGTTAAAATAATACAGATAAACGTGCTTTCCCGCTTATTGTAGGACTGGCGGGAGCTGTGGGTGGATGATGCCATCTGGCGGTTGCTGTTCTCCATGATCCTCTTCGTCATCATGATTCTCTGGCGACCATCGGCAAATAACCAAAGGTTCTTTTGCTCTCCTCCTTTATGCTGCTAACCATTAAACAGCCATGTCATCGGTTAGAGATGGTTAAGGGACCATGTCAGCACTGTGTTGTACAGTGGAAGGACCATCAGGTCTGGAATCAGTTGAATTGGCTTTCTTTCTTGACTCAGTACTTACAACTAAGGTTTATTCCAGCAAAATGATAGAAACAGCAAGGTGCAAAGTCATAGGTAGAGTCTAGAGAAACTGTATTTTCTTTCCCTGTAGTCTTTTCTTCCTCTGGGGAAATATGCCAGGTGTATTCCTTTCCTTGGCTATAAATGTTCTAACATGTGCATAGTTTCTGACCAAGGAGGCCCTTTTACTCATTACTTGAAATTCTTACTGAGGGCTAGTCATGTAAGCATGCCTTGCCTAGGACATAGGAACGCTCTGGTTTCCCAGGAGGAAAGGCAGTGTTTGTTGTAAATTGCATTGCACAAACAGCCCACGCACACTGCTGCCCTTGTCAGTTAGGGAACAGATCAGGGTTCCAGATAGCGGTCATGCCAGGCTTGCAAGAAAGCCTTTCTAAAGGCCTGTTATGTTAACTCTTGTGTATATGTAGTGGATTAAAAATAGGATAAAATACAATAATGTAAAGACTCTGTAAATCTATTTTTAGGCACTGTAGTATCCCTTGCCCTACCCCCTGTGGTGATTATTATAGTCTAAATCTTACATATCTTTGAATGTATTGGTTTATGTCTGCCTTCTCCCACTCCTCACAAAAATCACCGACTGGAAAAATTCCAAATGTGAATTGCATAAAAGACAAAAGAACTCTTCCTTATTGCAGAGTCTTATAGAAGAGTCTTGACAAGACTGGCTGCAACTCCTGACTCAGCTGGTTTCCAAAAGTATTGTCAGGTTTGATAATTCACCAGAAAGACTAACAGAACTCACTGAAAGCTGTTACATGCCCATGGCAGTGGTTTATTTGTGAGCAGGGGTACAACTACAATAAACCCAGCGAGGCGACTCTTAGGACAGAGTCTTGAGGGACTCAAAGGCAGAGCTTCTGGTTGTCCTGTATGCAGTCAGTCTGCTCTCTCCTGATCGGAGAACATTACCAACCAGGGAAACTCACCCAAGCCTGAGGTGGCAAGTCTTCACTGGGGTTCAGTTTTATTCTCCTTGTGTAGCTGACCTTTCATTCCCAACCCTTCCTAGTAGAAATGAAGCTAAGGGCTTCAGTCTCCATTTCCTCCATCGGTCAGAACTAGTATGGCATAGCTTTATAAACCACACTTACAGTCTTTCTGGGAGCCTGCTGGGAAACAGAGACATTCCCATGAGGCAGGACAGTCCAGAGGCATTGTGGCTGCCTCCTAGTGCTCAAGGGCACAGGCCAGACTTCTTTTTGGGTGTGTAGGCTGCCCCCTGGCTTTTGCCTGGTACTTTCTCACAGCAGAGTTATATTTGTCTGGTCATTTCTGCTTAGTGCTCCAGGATTTATGTGACAGACAGCAACAGTAACTGTGAATGTGCCTGACATTTGCAGGAGCCAATATATGATAGAGACCGAAAGAGTTAATCTGTTTTCCAAAGCCATTACAAACATTTACATATTTTATACAGATTTAATTATGTACTTACTCCCTTGCTCTACCAGTTCTGTTCTTACACCATTTTAGAAATTAATGAATTGGTTGCCATTCAGCATGTCTAGTCAGTATGAGCAGAGGACAGATTTATATGCCTTGTGATTTATGATAGTAGATCAGGGAAGAGTTCCCCATTCAGACACAGTACCCATCTTCAAGGTAGAGAAGCCACACCACATCACAGAGTCCATCCAAGTATTTTGGGGCTCATCTCAACCTGCACCTTCATCCCATCAGCTATTACATTCATGTAGCCTCCCAGACTAACTATAGTTCTGTTAGGACTTTATCCACAGGTTTTTGTTTTACAGTACCAGCTAGGAGGTGTTCCCCAGTCAGACATAGCTTGCTTGCCTGCCTTCCTTCCTTTCTTTCTGTTGTAGTATATGGTAAGTTTACAGACACAGCTATTTCTGTAATACCTTTAGGCAAAGGGGAGACAATCACTGCGCATAAAACCTTTTTAAATTTTTTTTTTTAATTTTAAAGAGAATAAAAATAAAAATGCTACAGAATTTCAAAACAAGATGATAGGAAATTAACAGTGGTTGTTACGTTGCATATTGTTATCTTCAAAGTAGCTGTTCGATTATCAGATAAAGACATGCAAAATTGATCAAGCAATTAGGCATTAACTATTTCTTTCATAAACCAATAGAAATTAGTGGTACAATTATCTTAGCTATCTTGTGTGTGTATCTATATATATTTTTCCCCCTTTCTGCTTGCTTTTCTCCTTTCTCCCATAAAACATCTTTAAATGAACCAGTTTTCATCTAAAGACTTACCTCAGTCCTACAACCTTGCATTTTTGTATCCTACAGTCTCAGTGTAACCCCAATCCAACTTAACCCACAGGCTTTAGAGGCACCTTGCCTGGGGCTTCCATGTCAGGATGGCTCAGGCACACCTGTTCTCCACTTTTTGGCCATTTTACCCACTAATAGTGTTACTTAGTTTTGGGGCGCTGGAGTGTGCTGGAGGTGGTTTCTAGGTTCTTTCTGTCCTGAGCAAAGGATTGGTCAAGACGAGCACAAATGGTAGCAAAGTTTATTAAAGGCAGGAAAAGAAACATGGAGTTTGGGCCAATTAAATGAAGAAGTAGTTCTGCTCTGCAGCATAAGTGTGTGCCAACCATGTAAGAGAACACAGTGGCTAAGTGTCAATGTGGTCTGTCCTTTCTGTACCTCTTGCTCCTCAGGCTGACATCAGTCTAGGCCATCTTATCAAAAACTTGCTTGAGTTTTCATAGGATGTTCATGTGTAAGGCTTTGGGGATGGTTCTGCACATGTGTCCTGGGATTTTGTAATTAACAGGTCATGCCTGCTTCCCCAGCCAGCTTCGCCACACAACAATCTCCTGTCTCAGTGGGCTTATAGCCAAAGAACTCAGGTCTTTTTGTTTGGGACGTTTTAGTATTAAGGAAGCAATACGTGGGACTGGTGTTCCCATCAGCCTACCCAGCTTACAAGAACGGACCTCACAGTAGGAACATTCGTAGAGGTGAACAAGTCTCAGAAGCAGCTCACATGTCTGCTGAGCATTGGCACAGTTGTGCTGCTGTTAGCTTACTGTGCAGTGTGAGAGTGGACAGTAGCACAGTGTCCAAAGCTAGAGGAAAAGCAGTGGTGCTCTGGCGGGGTCAGGTAGCAAGCACAAAGCAATACACAGTGAATATTTGTGTCAAAGGTGTATAAGACTCACTTTGTCGGACTTACTGCATGTTATGGTTTGTCTAGATAGATGACCCTCAAAGCTACATGGAGTCATAGGGCTTCTTTTCGGAGGTGACTCAGTCTAGAGTATGATGCCAGGATTAAAGGTGTTGTCTTATCTGCTCACTGATTGGTTTGGCGCGGTCCTAATCCCAGCAGCCTAGATAGAATCTAAAAGGGGCAGAAAGACACTGTTAAGGTCATTTGCTTGCTTTTGCTGTCTTGTGTTGCCATGAATTGTTCTCCTCTTCCGTGTGTCACCGTGCCTTGGAACCAGCCAATTATAGGCTGAAACCTCCACAAACTGAGCTAAATGACCTTTTCCTCCCTTAACTGTGGGTGTTTTATATTTTGTCTCAGCAACAAGAAAAGTAAGACACTGCATTATGATGATGGCTAGGCCTTCCTGTATAACTTTAAATAGACGCAGTCAGAGCGCTCTTCCTCTTATTCTGACTTCAGATCCTTCTCAAGTATCATCATTAACAGAGAAAAGACCTGGTGGCTGAATTCCAGGGTAAATTTCTTTTTTTTTTTTTTTTTTTCTCTGGTACAGGGAACTGAACTCACGACCTTGCACTTGCCAGGCAGGCGCTTTTGCCGCTGAGCTAAATCCCCAGCCCCTCCAGGGTAAATTTCTAAATACAAGATATAATATGTCTTTGCATCTACTAGGGCATATAGTTTTATACCATATTTGGAAGGTTTACTTGGCATATATTGCCTAAAGTGTCAAGAGCCACGAAATACTACAAGTTGTTCATCAGTTGTTTTGTATTTGGACCATGTATAAATGGCTTGACAGTTTGAAACAAAGCTTTCAACAAATGAATGACTAGCAGCCAAATTGTCAGATTTTTTTTCTTGGTGAGTCTTTTAGTTGTCAAAACCTGGACAATTTTAAAAGAAACCAAATCTCTCAAGTATCATTATTATTGTAAACATTTCAGTACTGTATCTGTCACTTCTCCATAAATCCTTTAGATTCTGATGATTAGAATGATAAAGTCCTGCTGTGAAGGCTTTTAGTTCAGATAGTGAGGTGTCATGATAAATATATCTTGAGTATTACTGTTGGTACATACAAAATGTTTTCCTGTATTTCATTATTAGTGTATTTCAAAGCATCTTGAGCATATCGTCCATTACAATTTCCAACAGTGAATCATGATGTTGGCATTCTGTTCAATAGGTTTCACCCCTGGCAAGAACCTAATAACATTTTCTGACCTAGTTCTAATGTTGGATTTTTCAGGTATACATGACCATTTTGTAGTATTTTGACTAGTTAAATATTTACATACATTACTGTTTTCTTCCCTATCTGAATCAAGGCCTTCATTCTGTACGTCTCTGTCATATCTCCATCTGTATATCTCTGTCATATATTGCTAATTTTTTTTTTTTTTTAGTGCTAACTTCTTTGGCTTACATACTCCAATTCATCATTGGTAGTCAAGTCACTTGACTCATGTCCAGCCTCCTCCCAAAGACGTAAAGTGCATTTTTATGTAACACTGTACTAAATTGGGCTAATTCTACAAGAAAAATCAAAAGAAAACATTTAATTAAAAAAATTATAAGTATACAAAATGAAACGTAGCACATAATGTCAGTAAAACTCACCAATTCACACTTTGACACACATGTATACACCTTTCCAGTCATTGTATTACCAAGTGGGTAAACAAAGATTGCTTCCTGTATTCCCCTAGTGCGGCTGCTGAGATGCACAGCTGGCTACCGTTATGCTAAAGTGCATATTTTTATTAGAGAAGTATGACATGAGTGTCTGTGACCCAGTATGAGAAACCGAGGGGAGAGGTTAGATCACTTGTCTAAGCTTACAGATAGGATGTGGCTGAGTACTCATAAATGTGGTACTGTTTTCCTTCTCCTTGCTAATGAAAGCCCCAAAGAGCTTTCTGAAGGGGAAGCACTACTGTTCCTAAACTGATTGTATGTTAATTATACAGTTTCAGTTTCAGTACTAAGTTCTGTAAAACCCAGATAGTGCAGCACTTGGTAGTTTTCTAATCTTTCCTTCTCATGTATCTTTGTGCTGACAGGTTTGCCTTTTCACCATTGTCTGAGGAAGAGGAGGAAGATGAACAAAAGGAACCAATGCTGAAAGAAAGCTTTGGTAGTGATAAAACTCATTTTTTATTTGTACTTTTTTTCATATAAGTACATTATTTTTTACAATAGTGTTGTTCCTCAGTTTGATGTGCGATAAAGTTAGGATGGCGGGGAGATAAGGGTGTAAGTTTTAAGCTGAAGCAATGATAAATTGAATAAATAGTTTCACATTAAATGTCCAGTTTACATGCTAGATTTGAGCTGCAAGTTTAGCTTTGAACTTCCCAGTGTACATGCAAAGATGGAGAAACGTCATCTGTTGCATAAATCACAATCAGTAAGCTTAAAATAAAACTCTTAATCCATTTTTGTAATCATTGCTGGTCTGTTTACAGTTAACCAGTCTGCATACTTTTCTTCCTTTGCAGAAGGAATGAAAATGAGAAGTACCAAACAAGAACCAAATGGAAATAGTAAAGCAAACAAAGCAGTAAGTCTGGCTTTTTCCCTTTCCTCTTTGTTTTTTGCCCAATTTTCCAGTCCTTGTTGGAACTTAGGAGTTACATATAAACCTTAATGGGTTTTGTGCCTATGCTGTAATTGGGCTTGTTTTATAAATCTTGAAATATATATTAATTTCCACATTCAAAAACAGAACAGCAAATGAAACTGAGATCTGGTAATCTTCAAGATGATTTGTTTCTCTAGTCGTGAAAAGTAGCAGATCACTCTGATTGTTCTGCTTAGTGGTTTGCAGCAGTAAAGTCACAGTCCCATAAATAACCTAAGGTCTTCTTTGGAATAAAGACCTAGATGTCAGGGATTTTTCTTTTTTTCTTTAGGTGCTGGAGATTGAACCCTGGCCCTTAGGTGTGTTAGGCAAGCGCTGTGCCTTTAAGCTAAACCCCCAGCCATCAGTCAGATTTTGTTGAAACTGAATATCTACCCTCTCTAAAAGGCTTTATTAACTTTTTTGTGTTTTTTTTTTTTTGTACACAAGGTCTTAATATATAGTGTACACATGGCCTCCAGCTCACAGTCCTCCTGCCTCACCCTTTAATGTTACAATTACAGGCATGTGCCACAATCCCTGGCTTTAAAAGGACTTTGGAAATTATCTCAATCATAAGGGGTAAACCCTGCATGAAATATACTTCACACATTAAGCCAATGGGAAGGACATTTTACGATGGAGGCCATTATATTGTATTTCTATTATGATTTTAAGAATTAAATTATTTGATCTAATTAGGGAAGAGAAAGGGCATCTGTGTTAGTAAAAAGTTAAATTATTTCTGTTTACAAATAACTTTTTTTTTTCTCATCTTTTTGAGACAGAGTCTCTCTATGAAGGTCAGGCTGGCTTTGAGCTCCCTCTGTAACATAGGCTGGCCTTAAACTCACAAGGATCCTCTTGCCTCAGCCTCCTGACTGCTGGGATTATAGGTGTGCGCCACCATGGCTGGCTATAACATGATCTTACATACAGAAAAGACCAAAGACTCTGTAAAACTGTTAGAACTAATAAATTTAGTAATATTTCAAGATATAAACTCAATGTACAAAATTAGTTGTCTCTGTATACTAGCAGTGAACTGTCTGAAAGAAATTAAGATAAGCATTCCATTTATCATAGCTGCCAAAAATGGTCTTAAGGCCTGTTTGAGCTTTACTTGAGTTGTATTATGTGGTACATTGTAGTAACAACTACAATGTATATTATATTCCCAGCAGGAAGATGATTTGAAGTGGGTGGAAGAGAATGTTCCTTCTTCTGTAACAGACGTGTAAGTGTTTGAATCATTACTATTGTTTTGTTTTGGTTGGCCTTGAACTCAGCTGTGTAGCCCAGTCTAGCTTCAAACTTGTGCAATCCTCCTGCCTCAGCCTCCTGAGTGCTGGGATTATAGGTACATGCCACCATACCTGGCTTGAATCATTACTATTAATAATCCTATTTGAAAAGTAGTACTACTGTTTTATTATTTCAAAGCATACTAATAAGAATATAAGATGATAAGGAATAATTTAAAAATAATTGGGATTATTCATTCAGATGATATTTCTGTTAGAAAGATTTTGCTATAGCTCTTTCCAAAATCAATGGGATAGTCCTTTCAGAATTTTGAAGTTTCTTTGTAGAGTTGTAACATGAATGAACCATTAATACACATTCCAGAACACGTTTTTTCTTATTTGCCTTTTTTTCCTACCAGCGCCATAATTAATAAGATGCAAGTCTTAGATAAGTTACAGAAAAGCTTTAAATTGTAGTTACTATTTCATTGTCTTTTATGAACCACTTATAGCTTTATTTAAGGTTGTTTAATTTGGTGTTTCCTTCTCTCTGCAGAGCACTTCCAGCCCTTCTGGATTCAGATGAGGTTAGTAATCAAATCATGTCTGAAAGCTGTGGATCTGGTGACTTAATAGCAAGTCAGGAATAAACTAAAGAATTAGATTGGTACAGCAGGAAGGGAGAATGAGAACTTGAACATTAAAAGGCGTTTCCTTTCTTTACATCTGTCTATCCATATCCTCCTTTTCTTTTCTAAAACTACATAGTCCAACTTGAGAAATGTTTTCATTTAAATTAGTACTACTGTTCTCTTCATTGTCTAGTTCCTTTGTCTTTAAGAAATTCAGATTTTATCATTATCTCATCTTGGCACAAATTATTAACAGAAGTATTGAGAAAGGAATATAGTAGACCAAAACAAAGTATCAGTTATACATTACATTTAATGTTACATTGTCACCACCCGCATCTGGTAGTGATTTTAATTACCTCTAATATTTGTGGTGCTTTTTAATTTTTTTAATATACCTCCATTCAGTTCATTTAGAAGATGGCACATAGTCTTACGTAGGAATTGTGATGTGGGTTTATAGGACCTAGTTCTAGACATGTTCTGAATATTAGATTCTTCTAAAGTCCCTTGATTTCAGACAGCCTTTAAGCCTCTTGCCTGATTCTGACTCACTGTGTTGAGCTGGTAACGAAAAATGATTTGTACCTTTCCTGCTTTGTGACAGCACACACATGGAGTGTCAGATTCCTTACCTTTCCTGTGCAATGAAATATTTGAGAATTTTACCATTCAGATTTGACCTGGCCCATATAATACTTTGCTTTCTGTAGTGTCCTCTGTAGTTCCCATTTCTCGCGCTGAGATCTTCCCCTGCTGTTTACCTGCCATCAGGGTTTCCCTTTGGCTTTGGCTGCCCAGCAGGGTGGGAGGATGACGATATGAAAACAGTTGTGCTATTCATTGGAATACAGGGTTACTGTTGATTTTCAAGTGTGTGTCAGCATCAGGGCCCTTTTTTGTGATAACAGAATATGACAGTGAGACCTGCCCTCAGAATTTCTTAAGTGTATGTTACAGTATTAAATATAAACACAGTTTATACAGGTCTATAGGACTTGTTTTGTCTAACTGAAACTTTATACTGTAGAATAAAGAGTTCTTTCTGCTTCCCCTCTCCCATGATATCCACTGTTCTACTTTGTTACATGAGTTTGACTATTTTGGGTCCCTCATACAAATGTAATTGTGCAGCATGAGTTCTTCTGCAGGCAGTTACAGTGTTTCCTTTCTGATTGGATACCTTTGTTGCCATTACCAAATTGCCCTGGCTAGGATTTCCAGTGCTGTGTTGAATAGAAGTGGTGTGATTTGGCAAGCTTGCATTAATTTTTCATGGTTGAATACCATGTGAGCTATTTATTTATGGGTTTTACTATGTTGAGGTGATCTCCTTTGTTCCCATTTTGTTGGAAGTTTTTATTATGAAAAGGTAGTAAGTTTTGTTGTTTTTTTTTTTTTCCTGTATCAGTTGATAAGATCATGTGGTATTGGCCTTCATTGTTGTATCATACTAATTGATTTGTATATGTTGATCCAAGGGCTGAGGACATAGCTCAGGGCACAAGTGCCTGCGTGTATATATTGAACCTTCCTTCTATTTCAGGGGTGAATTTTACTTTCACTGTGTGTGATCCTTTTAAAAATGTCAAATTTGGTATGCTAGTATTTGTTGAAGTTTTTGTTTTTTGTTTTCAGAATTGAAGATTGAACCCAGATTCTTGCGCGTGCTAGGCAAATACTGCACCATTGAGCTATATTCCTTACTCTTTATTATTATTATTATTTATGATTATTATTACTGACAAGGTCTTGTTCAGTTCCCCAGGCTGGTTCTGCACTTGAGATCCTCCTGCCTCAACCTTCCTCCTGCCTAGCTGGGATCACAGGCATGCTCCGCCATGTCCAGATTCATCAGGTTTATTGCCCTGTAGGTTTATTGCCCTGTAGTTTTCTTTTTTTGTATTGTCTTTGTTTGACTTTGGTATCATGGTAATGCTGTCTTCATAGAACACATTTGGAAGTTACCTCTAAATGAATTTCTTTTTATCTGTGTTTTGGAAGTGTTTTAAAAGGTTAAGTTCATATTTGGTAGAATTTACTAATGAAGCCATCTGAGTAGTGAAGGCAGTGTCTCACTATGTAGTTGAACTTGCTGTGTAGTCCAGGCTGGCCTGGAACTCTCAGTGATTCTCCTGCCTCAGCCATTCAAGTGCTAGGATTACAGTAGTGTACTACCATGCCTGGCTTGTTTGGCATATTTTTAAAAATATTTTTTACTTCTTTGTTGAAATACTTTTTTGTGCAGTGTTCTGAGCTTACTGAACTACTTCGTTCTTCTGAACTAGTTGTCTTGATTTTCTGTCAGGTATTCCATATTGCATTAGGGTCAGTCTGGAGATGTATCTTCTTCTTTTGGGTCCTAATTCCCCCATTACATGATTTTACACTATTTTTCTTCATTCTTTGTGTTGATATCTGTGCATTAGGGAAAACAACAACCTCTTCCATGTTCACAGTCTTCCTTGTACAGAAGACCTTCTTCATCAGTCAGGTTGGCCAGAGATTGCCAATTTGCCAATTGCCAATTCCAATCCAGGAATGTCCAGCCTTCGCTGTACATTCATCTTCTCTGGATTTGTGCACGTGAATGACTACTCAGAGGGACTTGATGGTTTTTGTCCCCTAGGAATTCAAAATCACTTCTTCCTTATTGTCTGTGGTGTTCTGAGTCCTTGGGAGCAGGAGCATGCTTCAGGGTCTTTTTTGTTTTTGTTCACAGTGACTCCCAGGTACCTAAAGTGCGTGTGTTCTGAGAGGGAAGCCAATCTTTGGGCAACTTCCTGAAATTTTGGAATGTGGTCTAACTTTCCTCCTGAGACAGAAGCTAGGATTTAGGACTTTTCTCCTCATTTGCTCTGTGCCAAACTGAGAGGCTTGGAGAGTGGTACTGGCAAGTGAGTGCTTATTCCTTTGGACCTCTCTGCCTTTGTTCACAAGGGTTTCCAACCTGGGGTCCTTTGCTTTTAGTGCTCAAATTAAGGCAAGACAGAAGCCATTCCATAACGCAGTTTCTAGACATGTCAGGATATATTGCATGGCTTTCCAGTCCTCCCTTTCTTCCCCATGTGGATGCTGGGAACTAATAGTTTCCTCCAGATCCTGTGGTGCTATGCTACGTTTGGGGGGTAGGTTATGGCAAAAAGACACCTCAGATTTTCCTTTTGGCTTTCTATGGCTGGGTTAGTGCTCCTCTGTGGTACAGGAGCCCCTCAGCTGGTTTGTGCATTTCTCACAAAGGAGACTGTTCTATGTATTGTTTAGCCAGTATGTTCTTAAGGAAAGAGGACCTGGGCTCTCTATTCTGCCATCATGCTGACACAACTTTCTCCAAGGACTTGACCTTTTTTTTTTTTTAAATGAAAAAGATCTTCAAAGAAAAGACGTTATAGGAGAAACAAATCAAATAAAGGGCCAGCAGTCAAAATGGCATCAGATTCTCCAGTAGCAGCTTTAGAAGTCAGAAGATGCTAGAACCATGCTTTTGAATTCTGAGAAAAATTATTTTCAACTTAGAATTCTATACTATCTAAATCATCAGTAGTGAACTAAAAAGATGTTGTGTCATGTACAAATTGACAGTCTGTGTGCCTCTCAAGAAAATAATGGAAGATGTTTGCCATTAAAATGACACTAAGAAAGACTTTGGTCCAGGAAATAAAGTATCTACTACAGTGAGGCAACCCGGATTCCTAGAGTGACAACGTAAATTCTCAGGGTGACCGGTGAGTAGCAGGCTTGGAAAGCAGCTGGAATGAAATAGGAAAATAGACTTTCAGGAAATGTATTTCTAAGAAAAAAAAGTGAGGAGAATAAAATTATTAGATGCAATTAATCATATTCAGAAACAGATTTACAATGCTATGATAGGCATTTAGTATATAAAGCAAAGGGAAACAGAAGAATACTGTTAAAAATTGCATAACAAATGAAATTTGTAGTACATTATATTAATTAAAACAAGAGTGTAAATACTATTATAATCAAATTATGTTAAGTTTTTACATGATTTTAAAAATTTTGGTAAAAAAAAAAATCACATTAAAAAAAACACATACCATGTGTCCTTCTAACCATTTTTAAGTAAAGAATGTCAGCTCTGTATACCGTTGTGCCACAGGTCTCTGGAACTGTTTCATCAGCTGAATTTTAATAAGCATGTATTTCATTCTGAAGATGTGTCAGAGTTTGTGTGCACAGCTAGCTATTTTAGACTTGGTTTCTTTTCATAATTTGTTGTAGTGTTGAGTGTGTGGCTGAACTTCTGTCCACATCCTTCATTGGGTCTTTAAGTTAAATTCCTGAACTAGGGCATGTGCATGTTCTTATTAAAGCTTAATCAGCCAGTTGTGGTGGCACACCTGTAATCCCAGAACTCAGGAAGCCGAGGCAAGAGGGTTGCTGTGAGTTTGAGACCAGCCTGAACTACACAGTGAGACCCTATGTTTGTTTGTCTCGAACAAACAAAAACAAGCAGACAAAAAAAAATAGTATCTATTCAGTCATCTCAGTGGACTCCAAAATACACATTTCTTTGTGAGTTGTGGTTTGCTGTCCAGAAGCCTGGGACATTTTGACTTAATTGATCTTGGTAGGCCTGTGTATTTGTTTAACAGAATCTTCACAGATATTTAAGAACCACTGCTCCATGGAAGATACCTGGGAGCGAGACCATTTGAAATTAATACACTTAGAGTAAACCTTTTCTTTACCTCTAGGAACGAATGATCACACACTTTGAACGGTCCAAAATGGAGTAAAGAATGGGAAGACGTGCAGTTGAAGATGGCTAGTATCAAGGAAGAGATTGGCTTCTGTGTGTCTTCTACAGTGGTCCACGGGATTAAAGGAGACAGTGACATCCAGATCTCTTTCTTGATCTTTGTATGTTGGAGCTGGCGAGAGGTGTCAGAACAAGGAGAATATCTTATGAAAACACATTCATAGGATGAAAAAACCTACAAGCTTCTTATTTACATTGATGCCCTTTCCCTTCCAAACTCTGACACAGATGCTTATACAACTTACGTGTTGTTCCTGAACTTCCTGTGTTTCAGTTTAATCTGTCAAACTAAAGTTTAATGTCTTCTAAAGGACTGTGTCATCAACACCATAGTATGTAATCTCCAAGAGCAATTGCCTGTAATTTATTTATTTAGGGAATTTCTTGGGTGATGGGGGAAATTGTTGCTTGTTTTTCAGTTTCCTGGGAACTCAAGGTTACATCTTATAGAAGACCCTTCTGAGTTAAGGAGCCATGGTTCTATCAGTGATCAAAAGAAAAATGCAGTTACAGTGAATCATTTTTAAAAAGCAAAATCAAGTGCACTTTTGTTTACAAATGGTGTATATTAAAGATTTTTGTATTTCAGATGTACTTTAAAGAGAAATATTAGCTTGACTCCTGACATCTGCTATTGTGACACATCCCATTGCTGGCAATGTGGTACACAGTCCAAAACTTTTAACTGCTGTTCTGTAAGCCTCTAGGGGTGGCATGGGAAGTCCTGCAGTGCCTGTCTGCCTGAGTGCCGTTCCTTGGGAGTTGCACCAGATGCTGAGAGGCGCCCCTCTAAGTGCTGTAATTGAGCACCCTGCTAGGGGGACTGTCATGCTTCAGAAGTGGGAGCTTATACAAAGGAAACAGGTCCTGCTGGCTGAATTTGAACAGTTACTCTTGCATGAAGTTGTATGGAGGCCCTGGCTGCTGCTCATTTTTCGGATTGACTGTTCTAGTGTCTGGTGTTGGTTTAGAGACTGTTTGTAAGGGACATCACAAGGTGATGGGATTCCCAAAATTTTTGTTCTACATAAAAAGTTCATGTCACTTTTTAATATAAAAAATTTTAACAATTAATATATTTTTCTCATTTATTTCAAGCTTTCTCTCAGCATCTTTACTCTTTCTTGGGTTTTTTCCCTATAGTTTTAGTCTAGATTATCACATTTTCTATTTAAACCAATGACCACAATCCTCACTAACTTATACTGTAGTGAAAGTGTTAACATTTAGGTAGCATTTCTGTACACCTTTTTGCTATGGTGATTTTTTTTTTTTTCAAGTCACCCTGGCAATATTTCTCAGGGACAGTAATATGAAGAACTATGTTCTTTCACTCTAGTAAAAGACTGGGATTTGTGTGTTGTTGTGGCACCCTAAACCTGATCAGATGGAATAATAGTTACAATATAGCAGGATAGTTGGTCAAATATTGTTTAGTCTGTTTTTTATGTTAACTTGAAGCTAGAAAAAAAGACTTAGCCTGAGTGTATAGGACACATTTTGTAGGCTGATGTCTCATAATTGTACTTATGTCTGTTCACTGGGATTGGATATAATATATATTTCTTAGTGCAGGCTCGGGAGACTTCATAGTTTGACATTGACAAATAATAGTTAATATTATTTGTGTTGTTCTTGGTCCTTGAACCTGGAACTACTAGGTTATTAGACCTTTAGGGGGGTAATTCTTAATTTTGAAGAGGGTGATCAGTTTCTGTGGTAAAAGTCAGTCAAACAATACAAGATTTGTTGAGCAATTTTTGAGTTTCTAGCTAACTGTAAATATATTTTATCAGGTAGAGATGTGAAAAGAATCCTTAGTTTATGTATGAGGAAACTGATACTGTGTAAAAATATGATCATCAGTACCTTATTTTTTAAACTTTTATCCCTTTAGGTTTTTTGCTTAAATTTTAAAAGCTTAGATTTATTTTTATTTATTTATTTTTTTTGTTTTGTTTTGTTTTTTCTCCGGTACCGGGAACCGAACTCACGACCTTGCGCTTGCCAGGCAGGCGCTTTGCCGCTGAGCTAAATCCCCAGCCCCTAAAGCTTAGATTTATTACATCCATGGTGCTTTAACTAGGGGCAGTTACCAGATACTGATCATTCTTGCAGCTCAAGACTTGTTTTAAGTCTCTAGTGTGAATACTATAGTTACCTCAGAAAGTAAGGCCCTGCCGGATGTGGTGGCACACGCCTGTAATCCCAGCGCTCGGGAGGCTGAGGCAAGAGGATCGTTGTGTCTATCCTAAAAGAAAGGATGTAACATACAGTTTGGAAGCAGGCATCTGATCAACCTTAAATTTGATTTTAACTGACTCCCAAGAGTTGTGTATCAAATTTTGCTGCCTAAATTCTTGCTACTCAAAGTGTGGTCCAGGAAACAATAGCATTAGCCACATGCACAAGTTAGTTAGAAATGCCTGAGGACCCTACTGATTCTGAAGCAAAATCTCACTATAGCAACATCTCCAAGTGATTTGTATGTACGTTAATTTTTTTTTCGTGAATTCACGACCTCATGCTTGCCAGGTGCTGTGCTGCAGAGCTAAATCCCTGCCCCTGCACATTTATTTTGAGAAGCATTGGCTTGTAACTTTTCACAGGGGTGACTTTGCCAACCAGGGGCTTTTAGAAGAGGGAGATGTTTTTTTTTTTTTTGGTTTTGGTTTTGGTTTTTCTCCGGTACCGGGAACCGAACTCACGACCTTGCGCTTGCCTTTCTGACCCGTAGGGAGAGTGCTGCTGGCATCCATCTACCTGGTGGTAAACTGCTGCCAAACAGCCTACAGTGCACAGAAACAGTGCCCCCCCCCAAAGAACTGTCCAGGCCTACATGTCAGTAGTGCTACAGTTGACAAACCCAAGCCGAGGGCAGGCCTTCTCAAAATTTTAAGCACACAGATTCACTTGGGAGACTTAAAAGATTACTGTTTTTTAAAATTTGATTCAACAGAGCTGGTGTAGGCCCGAGACTGTCTTTTTAACAAGTCCACACGTGATGTTGCTGTTGGTTTGGGAGTCACACGGAAACCCACTGCACTACAACTTTTAAAATGTTTAAGGTAGTTGAGTTAGTTGGGATATAATGTTAATACTGAAGCTATTATGCATTGACTAGTTAGAGTATATCAGTGTTGCTAGGCGCACACAATAGGTACTTACATAAAAGCCATTTCGCAGTTAGGAAAATAAGGGCTGGAAAGATTAAATTTCTCCAAAACCAATTTACTTTCTAAATGGTAGGTCTCTTCCAAATCTGACAACTCAGGAGTTCTTAAGCATCATGTTTATTGCTTGAGGCGGTTCTAATATTCAAGATCTGCCCCACTCCCAACCCCCGTGAAAGCCCGCGACTTGAGACCTACAGCGAGCAGCTCGGCGTGCCCATGAGACCAGTGGACAGACTCTTTGAGGCCCCTTTAGGGACAGGGCGGAAGGGGCGGGGCCCGTTTGGCGGAAGGGGCGGGGCTAACCCAGCCGGAAGTCCTTCGTTGAAGATGGATGTATTGCGGAAGGGCCTGTAGCAGGGGTCCTAGTGGATCCCAGTCCGCCTTGTCCTCCAGCTGGTTCTGACCACAAGCCCAACCCATTTTGAGGAGAGGCAGCGGCGGCGACTCTCATCACCGCCATGCACGACGCTTTCGAGCCGGTGCCGATCCTAGAGAAGCTGCCTCTGCAGATCGACTGCCTGGCTGCCTGGGGTGAGCCGAGGGTCCCGGGGTCGAGGACAGGTCAGCGTTGGAGCGGCGCGGACCTTTCGCGGTGCTGGAGAAGTGGACCGGCGTATGGTTGTGTGGGCCCCGGTCGGATGCTGTCCGAGAGCGGTCGGGGATGAGGGAAGGCAGAGATGATTGTGGGAGCTGTTTGGGCAATTCCTGAGGACCCAGTCTTTTAGGGGTCTGCCGCCCGCTCTGTGCAGTCGGAGGTTGAAGTCTGTTAATTGCACTCTTTTTGGCCCTTTTCGAATCCCAAGAAGTCATCAGTGGAGAGGGGCAAAGTGGTGGGAAGGCACTCTGCAAGTCCAAAGCCTTGTCGGATGGTGGTGTTATTTTCTAGGTGAAAGGCGGTTTATTGAGGATTAAACAAATTAACACCATATGCTTTTTCCCCCCTTAGTGTGCACTCATAATTGACTCTTTCTGGCTGCAAGTAGCTCACATAGGTAATTGAATGCAGCCAAGTGTTTGTCTTCAAAGAACCCAAATTGCCTGACTCTGTAGGTGGAAGAGCATCGTACCAGACTGTTGTGAATCCTAACTCATATAACCGTGTATAATCCTCTTGGGGTTGACTAGGGCAGAAAGCAGGGTCAGGTACCTCTTGCATGTTCTGGGTACAAAATGAAGATTTCAGGGGTCTAAGCAAACCTTGGCTGTCAGTTACAAACATTGTGCACCTGGCTATGGGTGGTTGTGTCTGATACCAGTCCCCAGAAATCAAATAGAAGTAATTTGTCATTCCTGTTAATGTGCAGGTCCTGGAAATCAAGGATTATAAAAAGATGACTTAGAATCCTTATCACATCTTATACTGAGCCAGGTACCTATTATGGAATCTTTGAATCCGTAACAGCAGCCCCATGGAATTTTGGTGGCTGGGATCATATGCTTACAGAATTCTTCATAGCCCCTTGTGTAGGATTTCTTCACTATACATCTTAGTGCTTTTTGTTTGTTTTTTGACTTAGGTTTTCACTGTGCAGTTCAGGCTGGCCTTGAACTCACTTTGTAGCCCAGGCTGACCTCGAACTTGAAGCAATTCTCCTGCCTCAGCCTCCTAGAGTGCTGGGATTACAGGCGTGCACCATTATGCCTTGCTAAATCTTCATGTTAGTATGTGTCCACCTCCACTAGCAGCCCTGGGCTGGTCTAACAGTCATTCCTCTACAAGAAGCTGTAGTCCTTTGGAAAAATGAATAGAGGTTTTGGTTTTTTCTCCGGTACCGGGAACCGAACTCACGACCTTGCGCTTGCCAGGCAGGCGCTTTTGCTGCTGAGCTAAATCCCCAGCCCCGAAAAATGAATAGAGGAAGGCAATAATTAACAAAGTGAAAGACCTGAGACTGCATGGAAGGATTCATTCCTCTATTGCTTCATCAGATATATATATATTAGGTATATATTAGGTGTCTGCATGGACCTTTGTCTGCCAGGGACAGAGAGAATACAAAGATGAATAAGAAATAGGACCTGGAGTGCAGTAAGCCAGACTTGGAAAGATTGAACGTTTTCCCTGATGTGTGGGCTCTAACAAAGATGACAGAAAAGTAGAGGAGAGACTTATTACTGGACAAGAGGAAGTAAAGGAGAGAAGGGGAGGGACTGTAACAGCAGATAATAGAGGGCATGACTATGATGAAAATACATAATGCACATTGAACTGCCACCCAAATGTGAAACTCGCATGGAAGATGGGGCAAGTGGAGCAGTGGGTGGGAAGTGATTAAAATATTTTATGTACAAAATAAAACCCATCAGCCTGTATTACCAATAGGCACTAAAAAAAAAATGTGGGGATGGGGCATGGGGAGAGAAACAGTGCCTGTGCTGCTAGAACACAGTGGGGGAACAAAAACTCATATAAAGATATTATGTTAAAAAATAAATGATATTAGAGACATATGCTGCCTATGATTGCAACTTGCAGGATGGGTACCCAGCTCAGCCTAAGATATATGCTTCTGAGACTGATGGATTTAGCTGCTTATCACACTTAGTTTGTCAGAATCTTTGACTCTGATGTCCTGTGGAACCATGTATCTCTTAGACTGTCTCTCTAATGTTGTCACATTAGAGATTCCTCATTCCTGTGCTTTTCTAAAGGAGCACAGTTTTGAACTGATAGGTAGCTTTTGGCCTACCTTCATCACTCACCAAACAGGACTTACGCCTTTACTAGATTGCTGTGGTGGATACTGGGCTATAGGAGGCCATGTACTTCCTCCGGCCTCAAAACTACTTTATTTTCAGACCTCAGCAACAACAGTTATTGCAATTTCTAGTCATTACCCCGTTGTACCTACATTCATCCAGGACCCTGCAGGAGTCATATCATGAAGGGCCAAAATTTGAACTGGAAGGCCTTGGTGACAACATAATCCATCTCTTGGGAAGTGGAAATGAGGAAGACACTTAAGTTCAGAGTTGCCTTTTAGGCTTTTTCATTTGGATGTTTAGTAGCATGGCCAAACCCATTCAAAACATGCCTGTCCTCCTGTACCTCACATCTCAACCAATGGGGTTTCTCTACTTCTTTGGCTGAGGCCAAAAACCTTGGCATCATTCTTGACTTCTTCCATTCTCTTTTATAATATATCGAGTCCATCAGTAAATTTTGTGTGGTCTGCCTTCAGAGTAAGTCTAGAATCCAGTCTTTTTGCTCTAGCTCCACTACTGCTACTCTTGATGAAGACACCATCATATCTCATCTGAATTATGGAGTAGTCTTTTGATGGTCACCCTGTGTTTGCCTTTGTGTCATTTTCAGGTTTTTTAAAAATTTAAATGGAAAAGAAGTGACCCTTTAAAAATCTAAATCAGAGCATAACTCATCTACTCAAAACCTTTCAGTTGTCATCACAACTAGAATAAGTTTCAAAGTCCTTAACCATGGGAACACCCAACATTATCAAGCTGGGGTTACTTCCCTGACTTAATCTCCTGTGGAGTTACCCCTTACTCCTTTCTGGTACCAGTCACAGTCTTCCTTGTTGCACGAACAGGCAGAGCACATACCTACTTCAGGGCCTTTGTGCTTGTTGGTTGCTCTCTTGCCTAGATATCATATGGGTCATTCCTTATTGTCTGCTGGAATGTCACTTAAACAGCAAGCCCTTTCCTAAGTAGCTGTAAGGGAGAATACCATCTCCACCAACATCCTGTTCTCTTATTCTTATCTTTATCATGGATAACCAGTCAGGATTATTTTACTTATTACTGTCACTTTCCACATTGAAAAATCAGTTCCCTTAAGAGCAGGAACTTGGTTTTGTACATTGCTGTATCTCCAGTGCCTTGAATAGTTTGTGGCCCCATGAATGTTTGTTAAATATTTGCTTAATTAATGAATAATGATATTAATATTTATTATTGATATTAATAACTTTTATTTATTGAGTACTAATCTATATTTATGAATATACATTCATATTTACTTACATTTTCCAAAGAAACAATGGAAGGACAAACCAAAAATTATTAAATCTTATCTATAACAGAAGGGAGAGGTAAGGGTCAAATGGCTAATGATTAAAACTAGACCTCTTTTCGTTTTGGTTCTATTAAAAAACAAAATTAGGGTTTGGAAGTATAGCTTAGTGATACAGTGTTTACCTAGCATGTGCAAAACCCTGAGCTCAACCCCTGTTATCACACATATACACCCACAAAATACATGTATGAATATGAAATATATATAAATAAATTTATAAATGCAGCTTCTGCCACCCCAGAATCATTGAATCACAATCTCTGGATGCAGGGCTCAGGAATTTGCTTTTTTTTTTTCCACCTGGGGGTTGAATCCAGAGCCTTCACACTGAGTGAGCTACATCCCCCAGCTCTTTTTTCTTTTTGTTTCTTTTTCTTTTCTTTTCTTTCCTTCCTTTTTCTTATTTCTGTGGTCCTGGGTATTGAGCACAGGGCCTCATGTATGTGAGGCAAGTGCTCTACTATTAACTATATCATGAGCTCTTTTTTATTTTTTATTTTGAGGTGGTCTTGCTAAGTTGCCCAGGCAGGACTTGAACTTGTGATCATCCTACTTCAGCCTCCTAAGTACTACACAGGAGTTTGTATTTCTAATAAGTTTAGATGATTCTGACACAGCTGGTCAGGAGCATGTGCTTGACAAACCCTGTTCAAGAAGGAAGGTGACCACTACCTTGTTCATTGCTGAGATCCCTGCTGTGGCCAGCACGGGGCCAGCAGTGGAATTGTTTATTACATGAAGTTGAGCTACACTGCATTGTTGGACGGAGCTTCATTAGGGTAATTATAAGCAAGAGCATCCAGCCGTATTTCCTAGGAGGGACCAAATTCAGCCTTGAAGCCCATCATTAGGCCATTCCGAGTTCTGTAGGGCTGGCTGGCTGATTTACGAGTGTGCTACCTGATTATGTAATGTGTCCCACTTTCTGGTGTGCAGTATTGGGTCCCAGAAGGCTGCCTGTGCTGTGCCTGCCACACAGGCTTGGTCTCTGAGTCGGGTCTTCTGCCCCTTGAGCTCCCACTGACTTCAGTAACCAGAGCAGACGCCTTCAGAGTTCCTTGCCATTAGCACAGCTGGATGGCCCACTGCGTGTCATGACTGGAAGGAGGAATGAGTAAATAGTGTCTTCACTATTTAAAAGAAAGATTTAAATACTTTGCCTATATGATAAATATATTTTCCCTCAACATATACAAAAGTTAAATTTTTTTTTTAATTTCAGTAAATGTAATCTGATTTTATGGCCAGTTGAACAGACATTTAATAAGATTTATCTGTTGATAAATAAACATTTCAATGAAAGTGGGAAATAAACTTGAATGTCGTGTGTGGAGTTTGTCAAAGAGTTTGTCATTTGGCACAAGAGTGTATTGGATAATGGTACAAACAGGTAATATTTATTGAGGATGCTTTGTCTTGCAGGAAATGCGAAGCAATACCGTTTGTTACTTCACTAACCCTCACAATCACACTGTGAAATAGGATTTGTTTTCTTTTGCAGTACTGGGAATTGAACCTAGGCCTTTGCACTAAGCTACCTGATGAGCTCTTAATTTTCTGTTGTGAGACAAGATCTTGCTAAGTTGCAAAGGTGGCCGAGGCTGGGCTCAAACTTAGATCCTCTGCCTCAGGGTTCCAGAGTGCTGGGGTTCCAGGTGTGCACCACCACACCAGGCTATTTTTTCCCCCTTTGTTTCTCTTGGGTTAGGGTTAGACCAAGGAGTAGAATTGTTGGGTCAGAGAGTTATTCTGTTTAAACTTGCACAGCTGTCAGACTGTTTTCCAAAGCAGCTGTACCATTTTACATTCCTGTTAGCAATATGTGATGGCTCTAATTTCTTACTCTGTTGTCAACTCTTAGCTAGACCATCCTTGAGATTATAAATTCTGTAAGGTTAGTATCCTGTGGTGCTTATTTCCCCTGATATAAAATCATTAGAACTTCAAAAGATCCCTCTTAGCTGTTACTTCTGAGATTGAATATCCAGTTTCATTTTTATACTATCCATATTATGATTTTATAAATGTCCATCATATTCTTTTAGCTGGACTAAAAATATATATACTTACCAAAATAAAAAGTATCTTTTCCCTCTGCTTAGTACTGGGGATTGAACCTAGGGCCTTTGCATTTAGCTACATCCTATGTCTTAATTTTTTTTTAAATTTTGAGACAGGGTCTCACTAAGTTGCCCGGTCTGGGTTCCAACCTGCAGTCTTCCTTACTCAGTTCTCAGGTGCTGGGATTACAGATGTGTGCCAACCACACCCAGCAAAAATATATCTTAATAAGAAATAAAAATAATAAATGCTGAGCTCTTGCCAAAGAAAGAAAAAAAGAAAGATACTGACCGAGATTCTTTTTTGTTTGTTCATTTTTTTGAGGCAGGGTCTCATTATGTAGCTCAGAATGCGTTCAACTCACTGTGTGGCATTGATCTCACAATGATCTTCCTGCCTCAACCTCCTGAGTGCTGGGATTACAGGCATGCACCACCACGCCTAACTGCTTAGATATTTCTTGAATATAGACATTTCTTAGTTTTTCAAGACATCTGCTGTCAAAGGCAACTCATTTTCTTGACCAGTTGATAATCACAAGTCCCAGCTAAAGAAATAGAGTTTTTATTAAAACCTCTAAAGTTGACCTTTCTCCTGGCACTTTTACCTTGTAGAAGAATGGCTTCTTGTTGGAACCAAACAAGGACATCTTCTTCTCTACAGGATTCGGAAGGACGTTGGTAAGTGACAAACTTTTGAGAACCAAGAAAGAAATGGCTTATTGCATATTCAATTTTAAAAAAAGCTTTGGTAGATGACCATTATACAACTGTGAAATCAGTGATTCCTGGGTCATTAAAGAGCCATTGAGGGGCTGGGGATTTAGCTCAGTGGCATGGCGCCTGCCTGGCAAGCGCAAGGCGTGAGTTTGATTCCCAGTACCGGAAAAAAAACAAACCAAAAAAAAAAACAAACCAAAACAAAGCCGTTGGGGATTAGAGGGAGCACAGTTGCAGAAGGGCAGAAATGTGAGACTTTTCAAGGTTTTACTTGGTTTCATTCCCTAAACTGTATTCCTTACTCCCATATGGAAGGTAGAGTTAGATGTTTCTTTCTCTTTGCTTCTTGTAGATTTACTACTAGTAATAAAAAATATTACCAGTGGAAATAAGAGTCCTATGTAAAATGTGTATGTTGTAGGAGGGGGAAAATTTAGGAACTCTTGGTTTTAGAAGATCTTATGAATTTGTGACGGGTAAGCTATGAGTAGAGGACCTGGCTTTGTGTCCAGTTTTACTTCTCCCTGTCCTCATGACCGTGGGCAGGTCCTTTCCAGTGTCAGGTTTCTGTTCTGTAAACTGTCTTGCCTGTTTCTCCAAGTGTGGGGGGCAGATAAAGTAATAGGCATAAAGGACTTTGGAAACTAATGTCTAACCATATGTGACTTTTTCAGTAATAGTAATATAGAATAATAACTAAAATACTTGAAATTTTTTCTGCTAAAGAATATCCTTTAGCTGGGTGTAGAGGCACACGCTTGTAATCTCAGCACTGTTAGGAGGCTAAAGCAGAAGAATTATAAGTTTGAGGCCAGCCTCAAATATAGCAAGACCCTTTTTATTTTTTTATTTTTATTTTTTTATTTTTTCATGAGACCAGTCTCTCTATATAGTCTAGTCTAGGCTGACCTTGAACTCACTATGGAGCCCAGGCTGACCTTGAATTTGCAGCAGTCCTCCTGCCTCAGCCACCCAAGGGCTGGAATTGTAGACATGTACTACCATGCCTGGCACAAGACCCAGTCTTTAAAAAAGAAAAAAAAAAAAAAAGGAAAAGAAAAAAAAGTATCCTTTATTGGAGAAAAAACATCTCACTCCCTTTTCCTGATTTTCTGCTCCTTTATGAATAATTGATGTTTGGATGTCATGCTTATACTCACAGTTTATGGAAATCAGAGGTTAGTGCCAAATAGGTTGAACCAAATTGTCATTATCCAATTATATTAGACCTATAGAAACGACAGTTTCATAGCTTTTGACCTAACGTATATTTCCATAGTAAATAACTTAAGGTGAGTGGAAATAGAGGCCTGGAACAAGGCTTACATAACACTGGGAAGAAAGAGCATCTTCCAGAGGCAGGAGGGAGATTGGAAGGCAGGCTGGCCAGGTTCTGCTTAGAGAAATAAGAGAAAACAGAGAACAAAATGGAGAATTTCTTTTGTTTCTGTCTGTCTACTTTACTTTAAATCAGACTTGTTTGCAAAAGGTTCAGATAGTAAATATTATGGGCTTTGTGGCCCATAAGAGCCCCATTATGGCTGTTCTGCTCTGCCATCGTAGCATGAGCTAAACCATTTGTAAATGAGAAGCATGGCTGTGTTCCAATAAAACTTTATTTATAAAAACACACAGCGGGCTCATTTGGGCCCATGGGCAATACTTTGCTGATGCTTGCTTCAAATTTTTATTTCTCAGAGCCAGATTATTTGTATTTTGTGGCATATACCTAGTCAACAATTTTAAAATTAAGCTAAAGGATCTGAGGGTGTAGTTCATTGGCACAAGGTTCATTCTTGGCTCAGGAAAAAAAAAGTTTGTCTTGATTTTATTCAGGATCAAACAGCTGTTTTGTTTCATTTTGCTATATATTGAGCTCAGATATAAATAATGAAAACTGAAAGCTAAACATTGATTGCTTCTTGGCCTTTGGCTAAGATCAAGATTAGAAAACTAGACTATAAAAGTGAACCTTTCAAAGCAACATACACTCAAACTAATGATGTTAGTGTTCACCTGACTTCAAACCCTGGTCTGAAGGACGCACCATTTTCTGCCTGTGCAGATCACCACGTGGCCTTTGACAAGTTACTTCATCTTCTTGGGCCTCAGTTTTTCCATAGGTAACTTGAATAGTACCACTAACCTCCCCATGGCACGAAGAAATCCAAATATAATTTGAAACTTTGAGAAGCTTCCCCTGTCCCTATATCTATAGAGAACAGTCTCACTCTGACCTACCCCTGGGCAGGACGGGGCAAAAATAGACCTGGGCCTCTTTGAGTTAGTCCAGAGACAGTTTTCTAGGTTTGAGATATTAAAATCTGGGCTGTCTTTCCAAGGAGAGGAAGGAGGTAATGCAGTGTCAGAAAAAGACAGGGTTTAGGGGACCTGTGTTCTGACCTGATCTACACCATCTCTCTTGAGTTAAAAACAAATGTCTCTAGGCTTCATTCTACTTTGACCTGGACAGAGAAGTTACATTAGTGCATGGCTAAGGCCATAACAACTCCAGGTTTATTTCCAGGTGTAATTCCAGGTGTAATTGTTACCTTACAGCAGCACTTCTCAAGATACTATCTCTCAACACACTTGTAATCCCAGCCCTTGGGCGGCTGAAGCAGGAACTTCAAGGCCAGCCTGGGCTGCATAGTGAGTTCAAGGCCAGCCTGGACTGTGCAGTAAGACCCTGGCCTGAACAACAAACTAACCAAAGAAACAAGAGCTGAGTGTGATGGCACTTGCACTTCAAAGGCTGAGGTAGAAGGGTGCTGTGAGTTCAAGGCCAGCCTGAACTAGATAGAGAGACCCTGTCTCAAACAAGACAAAACAAAATAAAACAAAACAACCCAAAAAAGAATGTCCTTGGTAAAACAGTAAATCTTCATAACACAGTAAATTAGTATTTTCCAGGTGACCGGTGTTTGAAGTTTTTAAATCAGGCATGAGTAAGAGTCATGGGTTTTAATGGGACAGAATATAAAAAGTTCCTTGATGGGTTTGAGATTGATTCTGTGAGAAACTCCATATGCCAAAGTTTTGTATGGTATTAAAGAAGATCCGTAATTATCTGAAAAATCTGTTAAAATATTTCTGCCTTTTCCAACTATACGCCCACATGAGGAAAGATTTTTGTCAAGTCTTTCAACTGAAAGTACATATCAAACATGTGCGGGGATGTCGCTCAGTTGTATGGTGCTTGCTTAGCATTTGCAAAACCTTAGGTTTGCTCTCTAGCACCACAAACGCAAGAAACAAAACAAGCAGATTAAATGCAGAAGTAGCTGGGCTTGGTGGTATACCTGCCTATAACCCCAGAAGTAGAGAGGCTGAGGCAGGAAAATCACCATGAATTCAAGGCCAACCTCAACTACATAGCAAGACCCTGCTTCAAAAAGTAAGCAAGTAAATAAATAAGTGAATAGTAAATAAATGAATGCAGAAGTAGATGTGAGAGTCCAGCTGTTTTCTTTTAAGCCCAAAATTTAAAAAGAGGTTTACAAAAAATGTAAAACAATACTTTTTTGTTTTTATTTTTTTGGAAAAAAGGTATCTTTCATGAAACTATATTATTTTTGCTAGCATGTAATGAACTTGTTACTGTTATTTTGAGTTAATGAGTTAGTAAGTATACATTTTAAATATGAATTAATAGGTACATATTGTAAATATTTCTCTAAATTTCTAATGTGATAAGAATTTGTAATTAACCCACATGAAAGTTCTTTAAGGTCCTCAGTAATTTTTAAGATTAATTATTAAGGGGCCCTGATACCAAGAAATTTGAGAATCTCTGACGTAGAGAATTCTGCTTACAAAAAGAATTTTTGGAAGAAAAAAAGAATAGTTGAATGTAATAATAAAGCCTTTTACAAATATAGATCATTTCCTCAAGCAGAATTGTTTTTTTCTTATTTAAAATGTGGTGGCAGAATACCGTGTTCCCAACTGTAGGGCCCGTCTTTATCTCTTCTGCTGAGGGACTCACAACTGGCTTGTGTAGCAGTCTTGTGGCAGCCTCAGAGTCGCCACCAGCTTCCTGCCAACATGGCAAGCTGTCAGGAAGCAGGCTCGGCTGTGGCAGCTTCCTCCAGCAGTTTGGAGAATAGCGAGTTGTGGCCCTGGCTCAGCACTGAGTTTATTTGTAGGCTCATCTCATGATGGCTGCTTCTTGAGTACTTGAGGTGCCAGACCCCTCAGATAGGAATCAGGAATAATAACCTACCTCTTGGGAGCTGTGGGAGGCTACAGAAAAAAATACGTAAGTTTTCAAACCCAGAACCTGGTATCTATTGTTGATTAGGGATAGCTGCTGTTATTACGATAATGGCTATTTTATTTGATGCCTTGCTGACTTCTGAGACTGAATACTTTTGGCGTCCTCAGCAAAGCTGAATTCATGTGTTTTAATGGCTTATAACTTTCTTCCCTTTTTTGTAACAGTGCCAGCAGATATAGCATCACCTGAAAGCAGCAGTAAGTGTAGATCACTAAATGATCTAAGCTGGATTAAGTGTTTGCTCTGTCCCTGGGATCTAGGACTAGGACAGCTGCTGGGAATTCGTTGGTTTAGATGTCAGGGTGCTTTCAGCTGGGTTTACTTGCTTGGGCTTTATATTTGACTTCTTGCGTTCCTTCTTATGACACACTTGGCCAAGGTACTTATTACGTAGGGTAAGATCTTCAGACTTAGGCTCAGTAAACTTCTGTGATCTTTTCTGCTGATGCCAAAGGCACGTGAAACCTTCTGTCCTAAACTTGGAGTTGAAAGCAACTTGCTGTGCTTAGTAAAGACTGCTGGCAAATCTCTTGACTTTAGTCTTAGGAGTTTTTGAAGATTTGTGTATGAGAACAGTATGAATAATACTTTCGTTGTGGTTGCCTTCATATGCATCCCTGTATTTAGAAATTTGCATATCTACTTCTTTTTCATAGGCTGCAACAGATTTGAAGTAACTCTAGAGAAATCCAATAAGAACTTCTCCAAAAAGATTCAGCAGGTAAGGAGTGATGATAGATGCTACAGGTATATTTGACTTACATGACACCTTGCTGTATTAGTCTGCCTTTTGTTAGTGTAATGAAATGCCTGATACAGACTACTTTATAAAGAAAAGAGATTTGTTTAGCTCACATTCTGGAGGTTTAAGGACATGGCACCAGCATCAGCCCTGCTGTGATAAGGCTTCCTTGCAGGAGCACACAGAAGAGGGAGAGTTCATATTTCCAAACATGTAGCCAGAGAGTGTTCTTTTGTAACAAGCCTCTCTTGAGTCGAATGTAAGGGTCCTATGACAGCTACATTAGTCACTTCTGAGGGTCCACTTCCATGATCTAAGCAGCTCTCCCAGGCTCCATCTCTTAATATCACCAAGGTTCCCACACGTGGCCAACACCTGATATAATTAAATTATGCCCAAGCCATGATACCTGGCAAGTTAGAACTTTGATGTTATTTATTAGCTCTTTGAATCCTCTGCTCTCTCTCCTACTAATGCAGGATTCTCCTCCCATACGTCATGCACCTAAATCCTCTTTCATAGCAGAAATCATAGTTGCACATAAAAATGAGTCAGACTTCTATAACTAGTTAGGCTCTTTAGTACCTTTTTAACACTGTTGTTAAATGAGCATTTGCTTATCCTTGTCTAGAATGTTTAATTTTGTCTAACTTGCTGTTTTCTAGATCCATGTGGTTTCCCAGTTTAAGATTCTGGTCAGCTTGTTAGGTAAGAAAAGGGGTTGCATTTGTATTTTGGGCGTTAAGAGAGAAAAATTGACCTAACTAGTCATTTCATGGTTAATCTGATAGTGATTAACTTTATAATGGTATACCCCAAACCAGATATAGCCCATGAGTAATAAAGACAGCGTCTACCATAAACATGAACTCTGTTGTGCAAGGATTCTCATTTCATTCATATAGCAATCAATCAAGTACTGTATTTATTGAGCTGTGCTCTGTCCAAAGCCTGAACTAGACATTGGTAATAACAAGTTTAATGAGACATTGTTTCTCTGTGATACTTATATTCAGAATATGAGGACTGAAGTAAAAGAAAGTAATAATACACAAAGTAGTAAGTAAAAGTGGAAATTTATAAAATGTACTGGGGGGCCAGGTATGGTGGTGCTTTCTGTAATTCCTGCCTCTCTTGGGAGGCAGAGGCAGAAGAATACAAGTGTGAGGCCAGTCTCTGTGATTTAAACTCAGTAAAACCCTATCCTCATAATGTGAGAGACTGGACTGTTTAGTGGATTATTAGGATTTCCACAGGAAGGGAGGTGGGAGGTAGGCAGAGCATCACAGTCAGAAGGGACAACTGGTGCAAGGCTTTGCAACATGGATACACTGGAAATGGTTCATTGTGGCCAGGCTTAGGGTGTGGCAGAGTGACAAGCTATCAGGTGAGAGGCAGATGGGATCAGACTGTGGAGCGGGTATGTAAGGAGCCATGGTTTCATGGAGGGCAACCAGTAAGGCCTTTTCTTGACAAGCAGAGGACTAGAAACTTGCCTCACACTCTGCACATTTCAGCCCAGGACCCAATAGTAGTCATTGTACACTTAGTTCCTGGGGCTAAGGATGCACATTTAAGGCAACTGAACCCTCATAGCTGAAACTAGATAGCAGGATAGAGTGGAATCACTGCTGTCTCTGATCTTCAGTTTCCTTCCTGATGTCTCAGTTACCTGTGGTCAGCTGTGAGTTTGAAAGAAGGGTGGCCAGGTCCGTGCAGGAAGGTATTTTGAGAGACAGATACTGCAGTCACAGAGGCTTTTTATTACAGTATAATTGTTTAATGTTATTACTAGTTACTGTTTTTCATTTCTTACTGTGTCTAACTTATTACTTATTACATTTATTTTTCATTTCTTACTGTGTCTAACTTTATTACAGGTATGTATAGGAAAAACATAGTATACATATGGGGTTCACTACTATCCCAACCAACTCAGGCACCCGCTGGAGTTTTGGAATTAGGCAGTCTAAGAGGGGACTGCTGTGTTAGCCTGCTAGCTTGGCTTGGAGGCAGTCCTTGCCATGGGTTCACACAGAATCCACAGACTTCTTTTCCTAATGTAAATAGCTTTGAAAATTATTTGTTGTACAACTACTGCATCACAAATTTCCCGTCTTGAGAAGGGCAAGGTACAAAGTGCTTTGGACGTGAAAGAGCTCTTCTACTCAAGTCAGCCCAAAATTTGAAGGACTGGAACACCCAAGTTGAGAAGACCAGATGACCTGTAAAATGGGTGTTACTCTGGGAACATCCCGGAGTAAATCCTCCTTAGTGAAACTGAAGGGAAGTCGCCAAGCAGCGTGTGCCATCTGGTGGTTGCAGGTGTCACCTGGTCCCCTCTCTCATCTTGAATGTGGCTGTACTAGAGAAGGGTGGTCATTTATAGTGATATCCTGCTTCCTCCCAAACAGAAAACAACATATATGTCCATGATCTGTTAACATTTCAACAAATCACTACAGTCTCAAAGGCAAAGGGAGCATCGCTGTTCACCTGTGACCTCCACGTGAGTATACACAGGATGAGTGTGGCTTCGTGCTTGTGTCAGTGCAGTCTTCCCTGCCTTCGCACCGCTCTGTGGGGAAATGGCATTGGTGAGCCCATTCCATGAGACTCAGAAGAGAGCATTAGGGTTGGGGTTACTGTGGAGAGATTTCCCCCGTAGTTCATGCTGTGAAGTTGAGATATTTGCAGTCCTGTATGTTCTAATTAGAAAGCCAGAAGTCTAAAGATAATTACTCATTCAACTCTCAGCAAGAGAGAGACAGTATCACGAACATAACTGTGATGTTAAATTCACTTGTGCTAAACAGATCACCAAGGGGGGTCTTTATTGTTCAGAAATGACATCTCCTTATTTTTGCTAATTTATGTTTCTTACATTCTTCAAAATCTGCCTTACACCCCCAGCCATGATCTCTTCCACATAAGTGCTCCACTCTGATACTGCATTGTTTTTTTAATTCTTTTTTTAAAATCTTTTTTTAAAATTAATTTTATTAGTACCTTTTAGCTACACATGTGCCATTTATCATAGGGAATTTGTACATGATACATCCCCCCTTCCTCTCCCTCCCTTGATATTGCACTGTTTTTTGCTTAGGATTTTCTTTTCCCAACTCCTTTAAAGGAATAAAGCTGGGTGTGGTGGTGCAAGCCTGTAATCCCAGCACTTGGAGGGTGAGGCAGGAGGATTTCTGTGAGTTTGAGGTCAGCCTGTACTATGTAGCAAGACCCTGTCTGAAACCACCCCCCAAAATAAAAATTAAAGTAAATTAAAATAAAGGAGTAAAGGTGGGCCTGGAGTCACTGGCATATGCTGAACCTTGCCTCACTCATGATAGTCATGAGCAAGCGACATTTAAGAGAAAAGGAGGAAGCAGTCATGTAGGTGAAGGCTTGCCATGGGATTTTCCTCTGCACTGTAAATGTCCCTGTGCTCCCTGGATTCTTTGGCTGGTGGGACTTGGGGATGAGGCTCTCTGAGTTTCTGAGGATATCTAGGAGGATGGTGGGGTTCTCTCCAGCTTTGCGGGCAGAATGGCTTTATGCTACAGGGGATTTTCAGCTTAGTTTCCATTTCAAGGTAGAAAATCTCTGATGTACTTGTCACCAACTTAGTGGGTCATCCTGTGCACGTCCTCATTTGCTCTGGATATTTCTTCCCAGCACACAGAGACTGGCGAGGAGGAGTTGCGGATGTGTGTGGCAGTAAAGAAGAAACTGCAGCTCTATTTCTGGAAGGACAGGGAATTTCATGAATTACAGGTGAAGTCCACTGTTAATGGGTCCTTGGGTTGGGCGGGAGCTTCTGCTGTGGGCAGCCTATAGTTTGAGAGACTTCCTGCTTGGTTCTAGTGGAGTTTAGGCCCCCACCTTATAGTCTCCCCACCTGAACACTCTGGTATACTGTAGATGAGAGGTTGTTCGTGTCCACTTGTGATACAATTCTATAGCGTTTGTGTAGACTGGTTTATTTCAAAGTGGGCTTTACCTTCTCCAAGTGCACTTTGCCCCATTCCTGGTCGAATTCTATTTTTATTAGGCATGGTTTCCTGGCAGTGTGCTAGGAAAATTGTGTCCAGATGAGGGTGAGGGTTATTTTGCAGAATGGAAGTGAAATAACAGGTTTTAAGTTTTGTTTTTGTTTCTGTATTTTTTTCTTCTCTTCTATTTTAATGTCTTTTCAACTGTATTCCTGTTCTCTTTTCAGGGGGACTTCAGTGTATCAGATATGCCCAAGTCTATGGCCTGGTGTGAAAATTCTATCTGTGTGGGTTTCAAGAGAGACTACTACCTAATAAGGGTAATTCTTTTATAATTTTGCAAATATCATCAGTTTACCTTGGGAAAGATAATTATGTACTTCTCAACTGCAAGTCAGAAGACCAACTTAATTAGAACTTTTGGCATATCAAGGTTTTTGTTTATATGTTTGTTTATTTTTTGTGCTGTTAGCATTTTTCACAAATAAGATGTCTGAGTGATTTAAACCATGCAGTGTCAGCTGTCAGTTCTCTACATAATGATTATTCACAGCATATATCTAATTATTAGGACTAATCATTAGGACTGCTCACATTTGCCCTGCTGTCCTCACTCACTTAAGTATTTTTAATGCTTTGAATCTCCTGCCTCCCCAAATCTCTTAGTATATTTGTTTTAAAACTTATTTTTGAGCTGGGCATGGTGGTACATACCTGTAATCCCAGCACATTGGAAGGGTCACTGTGAGATTGAGGCCAGCCTGACCTACATAGCAAGACCCTATCTCAAATTTTTTTCACTGTTTTCTTATATTTCAAAACCTACATATGTACATTATTTAAAAAATAACAAAATCTAGATAAGGAAATAAAAGTAGTGCAAATCATCTGGAATTCCCCATTCAGAAGTACAGTACTACTTCAGTTCATGAATGTAATTTGTTCTATGATTTTGGAAAAGATGACCACATTTGTGTTTGGGTGGGAAAGATGATTGCGGTCATGTTTGTTACCTGATGCAGAGTTTGCAAACAAAAACAAAATTTTTCCAAATGCTTCTGTTTGTCAACCAAATTGTTTGCAAACAAAAGTATTCATGAATCGAGGTACTATTGTATTCACTGAGGGATGGGAATGTACCTCAGTGACAAAGTATTTACCTGGAATGCGGAAAGCCGGGAGTTCAATTCTTCAACACCGCAAAAAAATAAAAAGGAGAAAGAAAAATTTGTTAAGCTTTTGGTATATAGGCTTCTATCCTTTTTATGAAGCTGTTATGTATATTTTATGTCACTTTTTCATTGCTGGGACAAAGTACTTGCCATATACAACTTTTAAGAGGCAAGGTTTATTTTGGCTTAAGGTTTTAGAGGGTTTGGTCCATAGTTAATTGGCTCCATAGCAGAAATGGCATGGCAGAAAGATGTGACAGAAGAAAGCTGCTCAACACATGGCAGTCAGAAAGCTGGGGGTGGGCAGGGACAAGAATACTGTACACCCTTCCAGGTCATACCCCCAGTGACCCACCCTTCTCCAACAGACTCTACCTCCTAACAGCACATTTAGCTCTGAGCTCATCAGTAGATGAATCATGGATGTGTTTAGAGCTCTTGTAATCCATTCACTTTCAAAAAGCACTGCTTCTGAACACATGAGACCTTAGGCGGATGTTTTAAATCCAGACCAACTTCATGTTATGCACATTGTTTTTTGTTTTGTTTTGTTTTGATTTTTGCGTTTTTGAGACAGGGTTTCACCATGCAGTTCAGCCTGGCTTTGAACTTACTTTGTAGCCCAGGCTGACCTTGAACTCATAGTGATCCTTTTGCCTCAGTCTCCCAAGTGCTGGGATTACAGGCACGCCCACCATGCCTAGCCACACATTGTTTTATAACTTGCTTTTTCTCTTTAATCTACATGGCAAAGACTCACAACATTTTTTCCCTCCAATATGTGTACTCTTACATAGAAAACATTGATATACCATTCATTTCATAGAATAATCTAAATCTCTTAGCTTTGTTCACTTTTATTGATCCAGACTGGCCAATTCTGGAAGCCTTTCTTCCTGCTCCCCAAAGTGTGAGCTCTTCATTGTTTATTGATATATTTGTTCCATAGTTTATTTTGGGAACATCCTAATTTTATCAGCATCGGGGTTGCAAACTCCTGGAGGAATCACTACTGTGCAGCAGCCTAATAGCAACAAGGTATGGGGGTGCAGAGAGGGATCTATGAGGGCGGGGGACTGAGCTGGAAGTTGTAGGAGGCTCTCAGTCCTCTGACATTTTTGTTCATGTGTATGTCAGGCAAGTGCTCTGCCACTGAGCTACATCCCTGCCTTCTTCGTCTCCTTGAAAGTACACCATTCTGAGAGTAGGAAATCTTGACTTAATAAAAAGAATTACTTTTTGACATACAGTAAAATTTATTCTTTTTCGTGTACAACTCTGGGTTTTAACAAGTGCCTAGACTTGTATAACTAATACTACAATCAAAACTCAAAACCACCCCATCATCCCAAACTCCTTCACACCGCTCCTTTGGAGTCAGCCCATATTTGTCCAGCTCCCAAAACTTTGGTAACTGCTGATCTGTTCTTTGTCTTCAAAGATTTCATCTTTTCTGGGATGTCATGTAAATAGAATTATACGTTATTTACCCTTTTGAATCTGGCTGCTTTCGCTTAGCATAATACATTTGACATTCACATGTATAGTGCATGACAGTAGCTTTTTTTAAGTGGCTGAGTAGTGTTCTGTTTTATGAATGTACCAGAGTTTGTTATCCATTCATCAGTTGCAGATGAAGTTGTTTCTGATCTTTGGTAATTACAGTGAAGCTGCTGTAAACATTGGCATTCAGTTGGTTGTATAAATGAATTTGCATTTCCCTTGGGTAAATGCCTAGAAGTGGGTTGCTGGGTCATATGGTAAGTTTATGTTTAATTTTATGAGAAATCAGCGAACAAAAAGCTATGCCTCCACCAGCAGTGTGTGGCAGCCCAAGTGCCCTGTACTCCCCAGTACCTGGTATCGTCCATTACCAGGTAAATGCTTTTCTCTGTATTAGAGCACTGGTGTTACACTATTGTAAAGCTTGTCATAACAAACAATGTGATGCTTACGTCAAACAAGGAGTGTTACTGGCCTCCCAGGTGTGGGGTTTTGTCTGGACATTTCTAGGCTGTTCATGCCTCTGGCTGGGGAAAGCTGAGTGACTCACTCTATGTCTTCCTGTAGGTGGATGGAAAGGGGTCTATCAAAGAGCTCTTTCCAACAGGAAAACAGCTGGAGCCTTTAGTTGCACCTCTGGCAGATGGAAAAGTGGCTGTGGGTCAGGATGATCTCACCGTGGTGCTCAATGAAGAGGGGATCTGCACCCAGAAATGTGCCCTGAACTGGACAGACATCCCGGTGGCCATGGGTGAGGCCAGTGGTCACTGCCGTTTTCCCTTGGGGTTGGGGCTGTGTCATCTGTGTGGAATGAGGCCCTGTCCAAGATCTCGCAGATTGCTTTACATTGTATTGTTCACTCTTAGTTCCCTTCACAGAAGTAGTTTCAGGGCCTTTAAAAACAGGACAGTCTAGTTTTTTTTTTTTCTGGTCTTTTTGAGATAGGGTTTCACTATGCAGTTGAGGCTGGCCTTGAGCTCACTTTAAATCCCAGGCTGGTCTCAAACTTATAACAATCCTCTTGCCTTAGCCTCCCAAGTGCTGGGGTTGTAGGTGTGTGCCATGACATCCAGCTTCAGCATCTGCTCACTTTTGCAGCGGTTCCTTGGCAGCTAGAAACATGAGCACTATTAACTAGTTCCTTTTGTGGAATGGAGCACACAGACCTGCCTTGGGTCTTGAAGGACTCTAGTTTGAGAAGAAGGGACAGATAAAGAGACAGAACAAGGCCCTGCTTCAGGTATTCATTTCAATGCATTAAACTTCAGCATTTCTCAGAGACGTTCACTGTTTAACTAGGAAGTTTCACTGCATAGTTAAGACTGGACTAGGATGGGTAGGGAGTTTGAAATCTGGCTAGAAGAAAAAGTCCCTTGCCTTCTGGGCAGAAAGAATAGGTGGAAAACTGAGTGAAAGTGCAGGAGCTGTGTTTATTTGTGGAAGGCCGCTGCCAGGACTAAGCTGCTGAAACAGTGGTCTCCAGGATGGAGGAGTAGGGTGGGGCCAGTTGCTAGAGGTCTGGGGAGGGGCCTGAGAGGCCAGGGGGTTTCTCAGTGGTAGTGGTCTTGATAAAAGCATTGTGTTCTGGCGATGGTTAGAGACGCATAGACCAGAATGAAGATAAATCAGAAGGACGGTGTTTTAGAAGGCTCAGGTTTGTGTATTTTGGGAGCTGAGAGCTCCCAGGAGGCTTCCTCATATCTTAGGGAGCCTTGGCTTCTCAGGGGGCAGTTTGGCAGATGAGATGAAGACCCTTGAAACAGTGTTTGAAGTGTTTCTGATTCCTCAGCCTGGAAGTTCCTGTTTTAAAACCTTTGCTGGTGTCCTGGTACCTTCCTTCCACAGTGTTTCACAAAAGCCATGTCTGTGCTTTAATTTCCGGGGCCATGTTCGGAGGCCCTTCCTCTGAAATCCTCTGGGCCGCAGGTGGGACTACTCACTTCTTGGGCTTTCCACATCTGCCCATCACACTGCGCATCATGAGTGTTGCCTCCTCTGGCTCCTTATGCAAGTGGGCCAGCTTTAAAAAGGATGAAGAACTTTTGCATATTTATACAAGTTAACACTAAAGAAAATTGTACTAAATTTCAAAATGAGGCCGGCATAAAAAGAGAAAAAAAATCAATATGAGATGACTTGCCTTTAAATTTTCTTTTAGTTTTTGGGAAGATGAAAAATATCAGCATAATAATAGCAAGAGCAGTAAAAGTAATGGAAATATATAGATCCCAAATAACTAATTTCTTAGTTCCCTTTTAGCTTTGAGATCTTATGGTATTATTCAGAGTGTAAATTGCAAATGTAATAGGAAAAACTTTTTGTCTGAAAATAGATAATTAGAAATAAAAATTCACAGCAGGTGAGACACACTAAGAAACTATAAGGAATTTGTGTTTTTGGTGGTGGTGGTGGTGTTGTTTTTTTTGTTGGGGGGACAAGGTCTTGCTATGTTACAGCCTTGCTATGTTAAGGTCATGCTACAGCCTGACCTTAAACTCCCTGTGTAGCTCAGGCTAGCCTCAAACTCGTGGCAGTCCTCCTGCCTTGGCCTCGCAAGTGCTGAGATTATAGGCGTGCACCACCACACCTGAGAGAATACAGTACATTCTTAGAGGTTAAATTTCTATGTAATTATGCCATCTAGTGGTTTGCTTTTTACTAACTTTTTACATTAAAACTTTTTAATATGATAAAAAAAAACAAAATTGATCATCCTAATGATTTTTAAGTGCAGTAGGGTTAAGTTTATTTTTTATATTGTTGTACAACTGCGTTTTTGAACTTTTTCATCTTGGATAACAGCAGCTCTTTTTTTTTTAACAGCAGCTCTTAAACCTAAACAACTACCCCTGACAGCCACTATCCTGCTTTCCATTTCTATGGATTTGACTCTTCTAGATCCCTTCTATAAGTGGCATCAATCAGTATCTGTCTTTTTGTGTGACTTGGCCGCATCTCACTTAGCATCATGTCCTCAAGATTTGTCTAGGTTGTATCATCTGACAGAATTGTCTTCCTTTTCAAGGCTGAGTGATACTCCATTCTGTCCGTTTGTCTGTCTGTGTGCACACTTGGTTTGCATTCACTTTTGGCTACTGAACAGTGCTGCTATGGACATAAATATGCAAATATCCCTTCACAGTCCTGTTTTCAATTCTTTTGGCTCTGTACTCAGAAGGATTGCGGTAGCTTATGGTAATTCTATTTATAATTTTCTGAGGAACCGTCGTACTGTTTCTTATAGCTGCTTCACCCATTTTACGTTCCCACTGACGAGTACAAAGACTTTAATTTTTCCACATTCTTGTGGACACTTTTTTTCCCAGTTTTTATTTTCTTTTAGTGCATGTTTACAGTGCATGTGGTTACATTCGTGTGTGGAGTCCGTATGTGGACAGAACACATCCAGTCTTTTTTATCTCCCTCCCCTCCCCTTCCTCCCCTCCCTGCATCTCTTGATCTCCTTCCCATTGGAGAAAGATCTATCTCCCTACTTCCTATTATCTGTCTTTTACTTTGCTGCTTATATTTTGGTTTCTCACAGGAGAGAAACCATGTGATATTAAGTGTATGCGTCTGCTTTATTTCACTTAACATTGTGGTCTCAAGGTGCATTCATTTTCCTACAAATGACCTATGTTTATGGCATGAATAGTGCCATAAAGATTTAAAAAACTAACAAAACAGGGCTGGGAATATAGCTGAGCAGTGTAAGCAGAATAGTACTCCATTGTATATGAATACCACATTTTCTTTATCCATTCATCTGTTGATGAACATACAGGCTGAGTCCAAGATTTAGCTACTGTTGAGCTGGGCGTGGTGGTGCACACCTGTAGTCCCAGCACTCAGGAGGCTGAGGCAGGAGGATAGCCATAAATTCGAGGCCAGCCTGGGCTACATAATGAGTTCAATACCAGCCTGAACTATATATAGTGAGACCCTGTCTCAAAACAACAAAAAGATTTAGCTATTATGAATTGTGCTGCTATGGGTATGACTGTGTCCCTGTAATCAGATGTCTTTAACTCTTTTGGGAAGATACCTAGAAGGAGAATAGCTGGGTCAAAAAGAATTTCTAGTTTTAGTTTTTTGAGGAATCTTCCATTCTGATTTCCATAACACTTTCCAGAATTTTTTATTTTATAGTATCCGTTATAATGAGTATAAGGTAATAGCTCATCTGTTGGTATACGTTCCGTCTCTGTCTGGGGTGACAGGTCCTGAGAACGAGGTGCCCACGGATGAAAAGAAAAATAAGAGACAATCATGGGTTAAGTGGGCTTGCAGCCTCTGGAACCGAAGCCTTGATTACCATCCTCCTTAGCCTTTTTTGGGGGATACAAACAGAAAGGAGCAACAGAGCAAATGGGAGGAATACAACTCAGTTATCACAGGAATGAGACTTAACTTGGTTAGCGATCGTGTTATCATTCCTTCAGGCATATCTCAGCAAGGTATCTAGTGTTGTCCCAGCAGCTTTCCACAGGGACACAGGTCCTGCTATCATATCCTTTCACACCAATGCTTTTGCTAGACTTTCTCCAGAATCAAACAATCATATGGCTTGGTCAGGCCCAAAGACCCACGTAGGTAATACATTAAAAGATAAACTAAAAAATGTCCTGCTCCACACTCATCGTGATTTTTTTACCAGTTCTTTATTTAATATGGAATATAGCCATGAAAAATATTTATTTATTTATTTATTTATTTTTGGTTTTTTTCAGACAGGGTCTCACTGTGTACTTCAGGCTGGCCTTGAACTCACTGTGTAGCCCAGGCTGGTCTCAAACTCACAGCAGTCCTCCTGCCTCAGCCTCCTGAGTGCTGGGATTATAGCATACACTGTCATGCTTGGCTAATATTTTCTTACTTTTAATTATTTTTTCTTTCTGTAGTGCAGACCCTCACTCAGGGTCTTGTGCATACTAGGCAAGTGCCCTGCCACTGAGCTCCACCTCCATTTCGTATTTTTAAGTTGGTGCAATTATGTTTAATTTCTTTTAAAAGTTCGGTAGAAAGTAAAGCAAACCTTTATTTAGTCTCATTATAAGTTTTTGTTTATTTTCTCTTTTTTGAGACAGGGTTTCACCATGTAGTTCAGGCTGACCTTGAACTCACTTTGTAGCCCAGGCTGGCCTCCAACTCTCAGTGATCCTGCTGCCTCAGCCTCCTCAGTGCTGGGATTACAGGCGTGTGTGCCACCATGCCCAGCTCAGTTTTTGTATTTTAAAGACTGTTTTGTATTAAATCTTCTCAAACAAAGGAAAGCTTTCCTTGCAAGAGTTTTGGGCTTTTTACATACTGACTTCTTTAGTGCTTTTATTCTGCCTTACCAGCACTTTTAAGCTGTGGCTTGTCCCAGGCCTATCACAGTACAGGATGGAGAGAGTGGATATGGTTAAGTGTTATTTTTAAAAAATAGAGAAAGAAACTGGGTATGGTAGTACCTTCCTAGAATCACAGCTGGTCAGGAGACTGAGGTGAGAGGATTGCAATTTAGTGAGCTCCTGTCTCAAAATGAAATTTCAACACAGGAGAGGGGACGAAAGCGTTCAAACCATAACAGCCACTGAGTGGAACGTTGCATCTGTGAAACTCTCAGGCAGAAACACTGGTGAGCCATGTAGCTCAGGAAGAAAGAAATTGCCTTTCTCTTCCTCTTTCTAAGAGGAGGGAAGAAGCGGTCTGTAGCTGGCTTTTCCCCCGAGGCCTCACTAGAGGCTGCCACTTCCAGCTTTTGTCCGTCTGCTTTGTGACTGAAGATAAGAGGGTACACTAGGGCGTGGGGTCAGGTCCCTGTCTGCAGAGCCAGGGCATCCCTTCTGCGCAGGAAAGTTCCCTCCTTGGCATCACTCAGGCAAAATGATGTCTTTCCCTTTCCGTACCGTGGTGTAAGATCTCGGGGTGGTATTGGACTAGTGGGCGTTATTGAAGGTTCATTTGAATGCAGTTTCACACGAGCAGCTGAAACAGTCCGTAACACAAAGCTGTTTACCAGAACTGTAGCTCAGCCCATTCTCTCTTGCACAGAGCACCAGCCGCCCTACATCATTGCGGTGTTGCCTCGATACGTGGAGATTCGAACATTTGAGCCGAGGCTTCTGGTCCAGAGCATTGAGCTGCAGAGGCCTCGTTTCATTACCTCAGGGGGGTAAGGAATTTCTTTCTTCACTGTGGCTACCTTGTCATCGCCAAGGTTAAAATCACCTGTGTTCCCATAGGGCCGATGTTCTTTTACTGATAATCTCACTTCTGCCTCCAGATCAAATATTATCTATGTGGCCAGCAATCATTTTGTTTGGAGACTCATTCCTGTCCCCATGGCGACTCAGATCCAACAGCTTCTGCAGGATAAACAGTTTGAATTGGCGCTGCAACTCGCAGTAAGTCTTGTTCCTGAGCTTTTGGCGTGAGTCACCCTCCCCATTGTTCTCAAAAGGGCTGAATGTGGTGTAGATGCTCATATTTATTTTGGACTAGTAGAAGGAGCACAGAGCTGAAAGAGGGTTTGGTTCAGGGTCTATCTTAAGATATCTGTGGGGCTCTGTGATTTTACTTTTTCCCTTCATTAATCGGTTTAAGTGATTAAAAAACATTGGAACTTGTTACTGTCTTTTTTTTTGTCTTTTTTTTTTTTTTTTGGTACCGGGAATCAAACTCAGGACCTTGCACTTGCCAGGCAAGTGCTTGTGCCGCTGGGCTGTAGTCCTGGCATTGTTACTGTCTCTGATTGTTTGATCCTTATGCCTGGTGGACCGAGCAACTTTGTTGAAGATAACAGTATATAGCATAGTAACCATTGTTAATTCCTCTCATTTTTTTTGAGGTCATGTATTGTTTTTTGTTGTTTTTGTGTTGTTTTGATTTTGTCTTCATGCTGTTTTGATAGTTCTATTTATTTATTTATTTATTTATTTTTGGGTACTGGGACTTGAACTCAGGACCTTGCGCTTGTTAGGCAGGCGCTTACACTGCTCAGCTATATTCCCAGCCCTGTTTTGTTAGTTTTTTAAATCTTTAAAAAAAAAATCTGTTCAAATGAACTGGGCATTGTGGCGCATGCCCATAATCCCAGAACTCAGGCGTCTATGAAGCTAGAGGATCGCCACAAGTTCAAGGCCGGCTTAGGCTTATATAGTGAGGGTCTTAGTTCAAGGCCAGCTTGAACTATGTATTGAGATTCTATCTCAAAACAAACAAACAAACAAAACAAAACAAAACAAATACAGGACGATATTTGATGATGATACTAAAATAGTATCCTATAGAATTAATGAGAGAATAACATAATAGCTATTTTTTGTTTTGAAAAACTAAAGACAGTGGAAATATTCCAAGTACAGTAACAGTCACAGATGTAATATTACAGTGTAGTTGGAGGTAGCAACTAAAGGGCCCCTCTGGATTTCTTTCAAAGGTAACTTCTCTGTTGGGATTAGTAACCTCTGTTAGGTATTCTGAAACCACCTTGAGCTGTTGCAGGCCGCAGTCCTGACATTTATGATTGGTACTGTACTAGTCAACTTGTCACTGTAACAAATACCAGATGCAATTGACTTATGAAGAAAGGAGGTTTATTTACCTGAGTTTTGGAGGTTCAAAGTCCAGATGGCAGAGTGCAGTATCCATGGTGAGTGCTGCCACACCTTGGCATGCGTAACAGTTAGGGGCAAGCCAACAGTTATACCTCTAGCTAGGAGCAGGGAGGTCAGGAAGGGCTGGAGCTGCTCCTTTTATGTCAACCTCTTCTCACGAACTTCTCAGGAGTTGCATAGATCCATCCCATGGCCCCAGTCGCCTTCAGGCTTGCCACTAGGCCCGGCTCATAAGAGGTCCACACCATCTCTCAGCACTGGCACACTGGGGACCTGGTTTCCAGCACTTGAAGCCCAGGGAGGTGGGGCCAGGCACACAGTCTTCAAACCACAGCAGTTACTCTCCTTATGTTTGTGTGACATGTTTCTCACAGCAAAGCAGTGACCATGCCCTTGTTCTAGTGGAACTCCCATGGCCAACAACCATTTTGGAGTTGACTGTTAGGGCCTAGGTCTTATTCTTATAAACATCCTCAGTGAGGATGATTATAATTGGTACAGGGTGCATTTGATTTCAGGAAACAACAAAAGTCATTCTGAGCCTAAAGTGGACAATTTAAAGAATTTTGGATGAGGGTAATAAAAGTTAATTTCTAAGCTTGAGTGTGATGATGTACACCTATAATCCCAGCAGGTAGGCTGAGGCAGGAGGATCACAAGTTCAAAGCCATCCTGGGCTATGTAGCAATACCTGTTTAAAAAAAAAATGTGGGAATAAGCACAGTCATATGCTGACAGTGGCTGGACTCAGGTGGCCATAGGGAAAGGAAGGGAAGAAGGGAACTGAGATGTTGTGAAGAAGAAATTAGATTTGGTAAAGATTGATAAAAGGGATATAAGGAGGAAAGGTAATCAAAGGAAACAAGGCTGTTTATTGCCCCATTTATTGAGCTTTTGCTGTAAGTAGGATCATCCCCAGCTCTGCAAATCTCACCAGATGTCTTTCAGCCCTTGAGCTTACCGTGCGGTGTGTCATTTGAGGGTCTCGCACATGTCTGTCCCCTTTCCCATGAGCACATCGTCCTCTTCCCCTCCCTTCCATCCCTTGCCCAGCTGCGTGTGGCCAACTGCAGCTCATCCCTGCTGCCCCAGGCTTGGTCCCTGCTGGCGCCCACCCTGGACCCCTGCTCAGACTGCTTCTGCCTTCGTGCTTACCCTGTCTCATTTAGAATTTTTATTTTAAAACTAATTTTAAGACTTTATTCAGACTTGACCAGTTTTTCCATCACTTTCCTTTTTACTATTCCAGAATCAAATCTGGAAATTGTGTTGCATTTCATTGTCACTTATGCTTAGTGTCCTCAGGCCGTGACAGTGTCTTCCTCTTTCCTATTCTGCATGACCTTGGCAGTCTTCAGGAGTACCGGTTAGGCTATTTGCAGAAACCTTGGTGTATTTTAGTTGTGTGGTTACTTGTGCTTAGCCTGTATCCATGAGGCAGATACATGTTGGTGTCTTGCATGCTTCAGCTTCTGTGGTTTCTAAGATACTGTGTCACCCAGAACATGCTGAATATATGTTCTTGGGTCAATAAGCACTTAACCTGTTCTATTCTCTTGTCAGGAAATGAAAGATGATTCTGACAGTGAAAAGCAGCAACAAATCCATCACATCAAGAACTTGTATGCCTTCAACCTCTTCTGCCAGAAGCGCTTTGATGAGTCCATGCAGGTCTTTGCTAAGCTTGGCACAGGTAACTGCAGATGTGGGGGTGGGGTAGGGGCTTATGAGCTCTTGAAACCAGATAGGTAGGGAGCAATGATGTCAGACTTCTGAGGATGGGGAAAACTAACTGTCCTCATACTTTATCTTCATGTCTAGCAAGATTTTTCGTGGCTACAGTGGTTACATATCTACAGTCCTAATCTGGTCTCATCCATAAACATAGACTTGGAATTTTCAGAACATGTGTGTACTGAGAAGTTAGTATCTGTGAAATGCTATTGTAGACAGAAGTTCCTGGATTAAATACTAGGTCACATTCTAGAGCCAACATAGGACAACGCTACAAAGTCCTTCCCAGCACCCTAAGATATCTGTTGACACCTGGGCGTGAGCAAGCGCATTGGCAGCAGCCTACCTGAGCTCAGCCAGGGCTTCTGCACCTGTTTGTGCATCTGAGTTCCCCTTTGCAAGAGGTGGGCAGTGCTGGTGCTGGCCTCACAGTGCTGCTGTGTAGGTGAAGCGGAGTCCATTGTGGGGCACTGCACCCCATGTTGTTACTATCATCATTAAACTTGGTGTTTCTACATGTTCCATTTTGCTTAGTGTGAGTCAATCTGTATGTGCTTAGTTTTCTTCTGAATCATATTGTAATCTTTTCCTTCCCCCTCCCCTTTGCTTTGCCTTTTCCTCCACCATCCCTCAACCCTGGCCAGTAGTGCCCTGTGGTAACTCCTGTATCTGTTCAGTTTCTTCTTTGTGAACAAGGAAGCCAGTTCTGAATACCCTAAGCAGAATCTGATTAGTGAAGCAGGGTGTATTGGAATGTCAGGGGGTTGGCAGTTGGAGGCGCCATACGGTTGCTAGGAGGCCAGGCTTGGGAACAGCTCCGGGGGTGCTCACGGCAGGAAGCAGGACAGCAGTCACTCTGTAGCCAGGACAGGCTGAGCAGTCCTGCTCAGGCATAGCCACCTCCTTGGCTGGCCTTTCACCTCCCCTGTTACTGTGCCCTCAGTAAAAACTGCCCCCACCAATATGTTAGCTATCTAATGCCATGTAACAAATCACCCTGAAACTTAGTAGCTCAAGGGAGCAGTCGTCTGTTCCCTCTCTTTGCATTATTGAGCAGGAATTGGAGAGGGGCTCAGCTCTTGCTTTAGGTCTGTCATGCAGGTGTAGTTGTGTGCTACCCAAGCTGTTGTCATTGACTGGGCAAGAAGATGCATTTCTAAGCTGGCTTAGTCTCCTGGCTGGCTGTTGGGGCAGGGAACCTCTGTTCTTGTCCAAATGGATCTCTCCAAAGAGCCCCTGAATGTCCTCATGCATAGCAGCTTGCATTTCCCAGAAGGAGAGGCTTCATGCTCTTGTGACAGTCCCTTCTGCTGCGTTCTGTTCACTTACAAGGATCCTTCCAGGATTGAGGCAAGGGGACGCCACTCTCTGGGTGGAAGAAGGTCATGTCGTGGTGTAGCTAGAGGATGGGAGATGTATGTTGGTGTGGGCCTCATTGCTTGTCATCCTCTGTCTTTTTCATAGACCCAGGGCTCTTAGATCTTATCAGCCAGGATTAGGTTATGGTCCTGCTCATATTGTACCAGGGTTAGAAAGGGATGCCCGATGCCCCTGCTTCTGAAAGCTAGGGCTGTCCTCCAACCAAAATTACGCACAGAGTGGAAAAGGGAGCTTGCCAAAAGGAAGTAGTTGCTGTAAAAAGGGAGGTGGAGCTGGTTGTTGTGGCCCATGGCTGTAATCCTAGCACTGTGGGAGGCTGAGGCAGGAGACTGTAATTATTGACTTAGTGAGATGGTATCTCAGAATTCAAAATAATAAGAAGGGCTGGGCATGTATCAGTGTGAAGGCCCTGGTTTCAATCCCTGATACTGCCAAAAAAGAAGATGGGTGCTGAAGAGCTTGAAATTGCTAAATGTCTGTTGTCCTTCCAGGTAAACTTAACCCCAGGGCATCATTTTCGGGGTGCTGCCCGCTCTTTGGGAAGAGTAAGATAGAACTTCGATAGTAGCTTGGCCCTTTTTCCCTTGCCATTAATGATAAAGCCTTAAAGTCAGCCCATGGAAGCTCCTGCCTTTGAATGGATTTATTCCTCCAGTCACCCTGAGCTCAGCGCAGTGTGCTGTGCCCCACCCTAAGCAGCAATATCAGACTGGATTCGGCTTTCGAGGAGCGGTTCCATGTGGCGAGTGAGGCACAGTGGGCCCGCTCTGCAGCAGGACACGCGTGCTGGTGCCAGTGTTGTCTGGGGGCAGCTGGCTGTGTACCAGATTTAGGTAACACCTTGGACTGAGTTAATTCTAAGATCTGGGCCTTAGGTCCAGAGTGGATATTGTTAAGGTACCCAGAGATCATTGGATCCCAGGTGATGGGCTGACCCCCAGCCAAGAGCACATGAATATTCTTTTATTTGCTTGTATTTACCGTAGAGAGACTAAATCCCTTTCTGATGACCCTGATCTGATACCCAGGATACCTTTTGTTATGGTTTGTATCTAGATGTCCCTCCAAAGCCTCGTGCACTCATAGGTGGGGCTTTTTGAACTGCCTGGGCTTAGGGCATGTGATACTGGAATTAAGAGTGTGTGGTACTTAATTAGTCCACTGATTGGCTTGGCATAGTTCTGGATATGGATAATGGGAAGGTCCACCATGGGTGTGGGTGGCACCACCCGTAAGGCTTGTAGCCTGGATGGAATAACAGGGAAGGGAGGCTCACTGCTTTGCTGCTGCTTGCTACTTTGTGCCTACCTTGCCATGAACTGTTTCTCCTCTGCAATGCCCCTCTGCCGTGTCACCCTGCCTTGGAAACAGTTGACTGTGGACTAAACCTCTACAAATTGTGAGCCAAAATAAACTCCCCTACTTTGACTTGTGGGTGTTGGGTATTTTGTCTCAGGAGTGAGAAAAGTAATTAAGATACTCTTTTTTCTATGTATTGCAATATAGGCATTTTTACCACAGTGGCTTGTGTGTGGCCATGAGACCTACCAGGGCTTATGGGAAAAAATAAGGTCGGAGGGACCATGTGAAGACTGTAGCCTGTGTGACTTTGTAAGCAGAGCACATATATAAACAGTAACGATTCTATGGCATTTATATTTCCACTGGTGTTTATACCCTACATGGTCCTTTGCAGTCTTAAACCCTGGGGCTGTACGTGTTCTTTTGCGATGCATATCTCTGAAGACTTTGATTCCAGTAGAAACCAGTTTCACTAAAAACAAAACAAGACTCATCTTGAGTACTATATAGGCTTTTTTGATGAGACCAAAAAATACTAATATGGGAAATCTTGGCTTCATTTGTACTATCAGCTTCCCCAGATGGCTCAATTTATTACAAAACATCATGGTCCTTGAACCTACTAGACAGCTGCTGCTTGCACTAAAACAGCACCTTCTGTAGGATTTAGGTCTCGTATGCAGTTAAGGCTTTTTCTCTTACTGTGAGACTCTTGCTCGTGATCACTTCAAAACGTTAAACAACCTGGAACGAATCACACACAGACTGATAGATAGAGCGTTCCCTAGTACTGCCATTGCTCTCCCACTGACCAAGGGAATTCTAATATATGCCACAAAATAGATGAACCTTGAGACATTGTGCTAAGCGATATAAGCCATATTGTATAATTTGACTTATAAAACATAGCTGTAGTAGTCAGGGCATTTATAGTGACCTATATATCCTGTTAGAGTAGAACAGAGGTTACCAGGAGCTGGGACCAAGGGAGGAGCGACCATTTATTGGGTACAGAGTTTCATTGTGGGATGATGGGAAGTTCTGAAGCGGTTAAAGTTGTTCAGTAGTGTAAATAGATGCAGTGCGGCTAAATGCCCACTTGCTTGTGGTTAAAATGATAAATGTTGTGTTGCCGTCTGTTTTACCAAAGTGCACAGATTGTCAGATGAATTGGTGAAGTAGGGGACAGGTGCCTGTGGCTGGACTTCGGTTTCCTGGCCATGTCCTGTAATGCGGAGCCTGGCAGATGCTTCAGCTTCCTCGGCCGGGCCCCATGGCTGCCTGCGTCCCACAGGGCTTGCAGTAGTCACAGCAGATGGGTCTGGGCAAGCGCCTCTAATGAGGATGGAGCTGATGACTAGATGCGGGGATACCTAGACTTGGGGGATAACTAGACTCAGGGATGTGCTGAGTCTGGCTGTAGGCACTAGGAAGCTGGCGACTAACGTGAAGAGAGAGACCCTGTCCCACTTCCAGTTTCCGGTGCTCACACTTACGCTTGTCCTTGGCAGAGCCCCAGGGCAGTGCGAGAAGGTGCTTCACACTGTTCATGGGGCCGAAGGAACCCAGAAAGAAGTGGGAGTGCATGCTGAGTGCATTGGCCACAGGCAGCAGTGTGGCACCTAAGTGGTTAGTTAGCCAGTCCTTGTGGCAGGGGCATCCATTTGTGTCTCTGAGCATCCATGAAATTACCGGGAATTCCAAGGAGTGAAAAAGAAAATATCACCTCTTTGACATTACATTTTTAATGTATTTATTTTTGTCTTTCTCTTGTCAGTTCTTTTGTCCAAGTAAAATCTTAAATTCATTACCAGTTTGTGTGAATTTGTTTTATATAATCAAAACTTGTTTTATGGTGGTATGGGGGATTGAGCCCAGGGCTCCATGCATGCCAGGCAAGCGCTCTGCCACCAAGCTGCATCCCCAGCCTGGTCTTGTATAATCAATGTATTAACCTCTTGCCCATGTACATTACAAATACATTCTCCCGCCTGTTGCCCTGGGGAGGTGTTTAAAACTAATACTTGGTTTTTGACATATAATTTTTTTTTAAAATTTTTTTATTAAGTTTATTGATCTTTTTCATTTCCATATCATCAATTTTTTCTTGGAAGTTTTTTGTATTCTACTTTAGAGAGTTGATAAATATTCATTTCTAATTCTGTGAATGTGTCTGTCTTACAGGATAGTCATGCCATTTTTATAATGTTTTAGTGAAATATACGTATAATATTTAAATTGTATATTCACAGCCCATTGCGTCTTTCTGAACATAGAAGCATTCCTTTAAAAAAAAATCAGTCTGGAGGTTACTTTGCTGTTGCGATAATCTTGTTTTACCCTTATTGTTGGGCTCCTTTGCGGAGGACTCACGTTTGCCTTTCTTGTAGATCCCACCCATGTGATGGGCCTGTACCCCGACCTGCTGCCCACAGACTACAGGAAGCAGTTGCAGTACCCTAACCCATTGCCTGTGCTCTCAGGGGCTGAGCTGGAGAAGGCTCACCTAGCGCTCATCGACTACCTGACGCAGGTAAGTACTGTTCAGGGGCAGGAAGACTCCACCTGAAACTCGATTACCTGTTTCTCTGTAGCAGGGATTGAGGGCCTTGGGGAATGCTGCCAGCACACCAGGAGTGAGTGCTGCTGAAGTCTGTGTGGGCCACTGTTCTCCCAGGTGAACAGTACGATTGAGTTATGTTTTGCAAAATCCTAACACCAAGAAACTTACAGAATTCCTAGTAAATTCACACTAAGCTACTGTAGGAACTATCAAGTATACATTTTAGTTCATAGAAGAGAGCTAAATTTTTTTTAAAACAAACTTTTTCATACCAGACATATGGAGAAAATACCAGCTCTATGAAAACATAGAAAAGTACAAAGTAGAAATATAAATCACTATATAATTGTAACCCTCAAAGGTAAGTAACCAATAGTTTACTTACTGTAATAAGTTTATTTATTGTAGTAAGTTTACTAATAGTTTACTTACTGGGCTATGTTGCCCTCTTAGACTTTTATGTGTCTTTATTTGTTAGCTTTTTTTATTTTCACTATTTATGTTTTGCAGTACTGGGGATTTGATTCAGGGCCTTTGCACTGAGCTTTTTACCAGCCCACCCCCCTTTTTTAATACTTAAATTTGGTACAAGGACTCACTAAATCACCATATTGCCCAGGCTGGGCTTGAATTTGTGCTCCTTCTGCCTCCACCTTCCAGAGTACAGGGATTATAGAAGTGCACCACCATGCCCTGCTACTTTTATGTACTTTTTTATTGCTGTATTTGTCACAAATGGACATCAAACTATAAATTGTTTTATAGCTTACTTTTTAAAATTAAGCTAAATATTGAGAAAGTTCTTATCAATAAATATTCTTCTATAACATGCTTTTTGGGAAGTGTGTAGATTAAAATCATTTTTCAGTTTATGGACAGTTAAGGGAAATTTTTTTTTTTTTTTCTGTCTTTTTGAGACAGGGTCTCACTATGCAGTTCAGGCTGGTCTTGAGCTCACTTGATAGCCCAGGCTGAGCTCACTTTGTAGCCCAGGCTGGTCTCACATTCATAACACTCCTCCTGTCTCAGCCTCCTGAGTGCTGGGATTACAAGCATGGGCCACCACATCTGGCTTTTTTTTTTTTTTTTTTAAGTTTAGTGAAATTTTAAAGTCAACATTAAAACTAAAATCTTCACTGAAGCCTCTTAACCTAACCTGCAGTTTCTGTCATACAAGTCTCTTTTTTTGTTTGTTTTGAGTTTGGTTATTTCATACTTTTTAATTTTAGTTTATTAGTACATGTTTGTAATTCATACAGTTTATAATCATCGTGGAGAACAATTACATGTACATTTTACAGCTTTTTTAAAAAATCCCTTCCCTCCCCCTCTCTTTCCCCTCTAGTTCCCCATTCACCTGTTTCGTACCTGTTGATGCTGTTTGTCTTAGCATATGTTATGGCTTATGATGTTTGCCTTGGTTGGGGTTATTAGGTTCCTGTACATGACATATCTTACACGAGGCTCTTACGTACATCCTGGGCACCCATTGCGGATTAGAGACGTCATGAATATTTTCTCCTCTGTAAGTGTTCTGCCGATCTTTGTAAGAGATTTCCTGTAGGCATGAGAAGTATTGCTGAAAACATTGTAATGCTGCCTTCCACTCCCTGCGTCCCTGCAGTGTGTGCCTGCAGGTCTGATGGGCACACATAGACTTGGCACTCCTTGGACATTAGGTTTCCAGGTACCCAGCTCAGTCTGGCAGGCTGTCAGGGGCGAGCACACTCGCCTCTGCTTGCCTACTGCACATGCCTGGGCCAAGTGAAAAAGACTCCTGGGAGGTGATCTGCCCCAAGGCCTGTGCTGTCGTTGAGTGCCCTCTGCTCATAAGCACACACTCTTTCTTGGTCTTCTGCACTGATACTAGGAATGCATGAAGTTAACCAACACCAGGATTGTGCCAGAGAGGGAATAAAACACCTAAGACTGAGAGCTTTGCTAAATGTAAAGAAAAGAAAAGCAAACCGATTCCTGGCAGCCTGCCAGGCCAGAGCTGGGTACCTGGGAGCCCAGTGTTGAGAGAATGCCAAGCCTAAGTGTGCCCATCAGACCTGTAGGCACACACTGACCCAGATGCAGGGAGTGGAAGGCAATGTTACAATTTTTCTAGAAATACTTCTCCTGCCTACTTCTCCTGGCTCTGTAAATTAGAATAGGCAGTTGGGGTGTGGTGGCACAACCCTATAATCCTAGCACTTTGGAGGCTGAGGCAGGAAGACTGCTGCAAATTCAAGGCCAGCCTGGGCTCCATAGTGAGTTTAAGGCCAGCCTGAATTATATAGAGAGAACCTGTCTCAAAAAAAAAAAAAAAAGAGAAAAGAATAGGCAAAAACTGATCTCAAAAAAAATAGATAAGTGTTGTCATTATATCTGGCCATTCGGCAGCCGTCTGTTTTGTTTTAAATGTGTTTAATCAAATATATATATTTTTTGGACTAGCAGTCAAACTCAGGACCTTGCACTTGCCAGGCAGGCACATGTGCCATTAAACTTTATCCCTGACTCGGCAGCCATCTCTTTTGATCCCTAAAACTGAATGTTAATGTGCAATTATGGTTGATAGCCATGAGCTGGTTTGGAGATATTCGGAGTTACCTAGTAGGGTAACAGAGGAAAGCTGGCTCAGTCCTGGCTTTGACCTTACATGTTTGGCCTTTGCAGAAACGAAGTCAGCTGGTGAAGAAGCTGAACGACTCTGACCACCAGTCCAGCACTTCCCCACTCATGGAAGGCACACCCACCATCAAGTCCAAGAAGAAGCTGCTGCAGATCATTGATACCACCCTTCTCAAGTGCTACCTCCATGTGAGTGGCCTGGGCCCTCGGGCCCCCTGGCCGTGAAACCCTGGGCTTGTGGAGCACGTGCTATACTGTACGGGACCTGCCACTAATAAGCCTCTGATGATGATATCTACTCAGCTTGGCCTGTGAAATTCTTGGAATTGAGAGGATAAGGAAAATACTGCCCTAGACTCTTACAGGGGCTGTTCTTTTCCCGCGAGATTAAGATGGGTGCTATAAGGTCAGTAGGGACAGTAGTTTTTCAAAGTAAGTGTTCCTTTCTCCCCACAGGACCTGAAGATATGTTTTATGGGAGGGCATAAGTGCTCTTACAGGCACTGCCTGTCTTAAAAGGGGGATTTCTTTTTTTCTTCTAACTAAAAAATTTTGTTAGAATTTTATTAGTACACATTTGCAGTACATAATGATTACGTTTATCTTAGGGAGCTAGTCTGTGTACATAACACATCTTAATTCTTTTCATTCCCCTCCCCTCTGGGTTGTTTGCTTGCTTGTGCTCGTGTTACATCCTTGGCCTTCAGCTAGAGCAGGTCCAGGCTAGGGAAGGGTGGGGCTCCCCAGGCAGCAGTTTCTGCTGAAGTCCTGTCCCCCACGCCCATCCCCAGACGAACGTGGCCCTGGTGGCCCCCTTGCTGCGCCTGGAGAACAATCATTGCCACATCGAGGAGAGCGAGCACGTGCTAAAGAAGGCTCACAAGTACAGCGAACTGATAATCCTGTATGAAAAGAAGGGGCTCCACGAGAAAGGTGCTGGGAGAGGGGGTTCGGGGATCGGGGGTCCCTGGTGTGCTGGTGTGAAACCCGAGATGCATCTGCCCTGGGGAAGAGGCCCATGACCTTGTTCTCGGGCTCTGTGGCCAGCTCTGCAGGTGCTAGTGGACCAGTCCAAGAAAGCAAACTCCCCTCTGAAGGGCCATGAGAGGACAGTGCAGTACCTGCAGCACCTGGGTGAGTCAGCTTTCAAGGGCAGCAGGGATGGCTGTGTTCTCCATCTCTGGCTGGCTGGTTGGTCCCTTCCTCTGTTGTGCTCATCCCACTTCATTCCTCACCTGGCACAAAAATGGCTTGATGCCCCCTTGACCTATGGTCAGCCCAGGAGGGTAAGCAGCCCTGAGTGCCCGATGCTAGAAGAGACTCTCTTGTCTGCGACATGAGCTCTGGAACCATCTGGACTCCTGCCCTCCCAGGCCCACTGGACAGGTCCTGTTCTGTCCAGTGCTGACAAGTCTGACTTTTCCTGCAGGCACAGAAAATCTGCATTTGATATTTTCCTACTCAGTGTGGGTGCTGAGAGACTTCCCGGAAGATGGCCTGAAGGTGGGTGTAAGGGCCCCTCGAGTTTGGGTTTGGTCTTGATTGTCCCTGGGACAGCAGTGGCTGCAGGAGGGGCTCTGGGAGTTTAGCTTTCTGCCATTCCTTGTGGCTCAGAAGGGAATGCAGAGAATAGAATAAGCTTGCCCTGGGGCTGGGAGACCTGTGGCCCTGTTTCTACACCCTAAGCAGCTCTGGCTGCTTCTCCTGCACCTCTCTTCCAAGTTGCCCACCTGATCCCTGTGCCTGCTCGCATGGGCTCAGTAGATCACAGTCACATGGTCAGCTGTGAGAACTCAGGTGTGTTCTGACAGATATTTACAGAAGATCTTCCGGAGGTGGAGGCTCTGCCCCGAGATCGAGTGCTTGGCTTCTTAATAGAGAATTTTAGGAGTCTGGCTGTTCCTTACCTGGTAAGGTATTTTTTGATCTGCACTAAAAAGCTTTAAACCCAGCATCCAGGGCTATGTGGTTCAGTTATCAGGCAGTTCAGATTTGGGGTTTGTGTCACTTGGGGCTGGTGGAAGTGCAAGGAAAAGGGTTATTTCAACTTCCTCTGAAAAAAAGAGATCTAGCAAACCAAGGTGGAAATGGTGCTGTTAATGATACCTTCTGAATCTAGTAAACTGCAGGGGGATAAAAGAATACTTTAGAAAAGAGTCAGTCACGTTTATACAGCCAAACTCTGCTGTAACCACAGGATAATCAGATAGGTTTCAAGTACCAGAATATACACATTTAACCTTACTTACGTGGGCTAATATAAGAGTTTGAGGGGTTATAGGACAAAATTAAAAGGACTTGAGATTGGAAATTGAACAAAACAGTTCCTAATACTGCTGGGTTGCACTGTGGGGTTTCCCTTTGGTTTCTGAAGAGCTGCCCCTTGGTAATCTTGGCAGCTTCATTAGAGGATAATGTGGATAGGACCCTTTGTGCTTTAAAAACGTGAGGGAGACTAGAAGCCTGCGTTATAGCGGGGAGGGCAGCAGCCAGACAGCCATGCGTCCCTCCGCAGGAGCACATCATCCACGTCTGGGAAGAGACAGGCTCTTGCTTCCACAACCGCCTGATTCAGCTGTACTGCGAGAAGGTGCAAGGGCTGATGAAGGAGTACCTCCTGTCCTGCCCTGCAGGTACCAGAGCCCCCCAGAGCCAGTGGCCCTGGCCTTGGAGGGTGGGCAGTGGGAAGTCCCTTAGAGGAGCCGGATACCTGGTGACCCAGGCCCAGCACGTGAGACTTAGGAACAAGGCCTTGTCTGGGTCTGGCCATCTCTGAGAGTCATCGGTAGGGGCAGACAGAAGGATCTCTGTCTATAAGATGACAGCCATGCTGACAAGAAACTAATCAACCTACCAGTGTTTCTGTTTAGCCTTTTTTTTGTAACTGTAAGCTGCTGTTCGGGGGCCATAGAGACCACCTAGTAAATCTCTTCTGGTCATGTGGCAGCACCGAGCCTCCTCCCTCATTTTTCTTGGTGACTCCACATCGCTGACCACCCACCTCTCCAGCATCCTTTCGTGTTGACTTGGTTTCCTTTAAAGGCAAAGCTCCAGTTCCTGCTGGAGAGGAACAGGGAGAGCTGGGAGAATACCGGCAAAAGCTGCTCATGTTCTTGGAGATTTCCAGCTACTATGACCCAGGACGGCTCATCTGTGATTTTCCTTTTGATGGTGAGTGTCTGGCTTACAGCCAGAAGCCGCTAAGCTCAAGGTCCTGCAAAACCTAGCCTTTCCCTTCCTGCTGCTGCCCATTCCTCCACAGAGGTGAGTCTAGGGAAACCAGGTTTCCAGGCCAGCGCCTGTTTTGACACCTCTGAAGACTCATTTCTGTACCTTGGCTGAGCGAGGCCTCCTCCCTGGGTGTGAACCGCATGCTAATTGATAGCTGTGTTGGAACCTGTTCCTTGCTTTGGAACTTGTTCTTGGCCATGTTCATCAGTTAGTAGTTTTTGTAATCTGGCATATTCATCTGCAGAAGGCATGTCTGTCTGATGTACGCGCTCTGAGTGCTGAGACCAAGTGCTGCCTTCCCTTCTCAGAGCATCTGGCTTGTGTAGGCCTTGTTGTGTACTTGGCTGCTGCATGAGTGTTGTTACCATAAATGATCTTAAAAAGGTGGGATAGGTGCCTCCTAAAATAGCTGCCTCCCTCTTGTAAAAAATATAGTCATTTCCTCCTATTTACTCCCATTTTATGTCATTATTTTTATTATTCTGATGCTGCAGATTGAGCCCCGGGCCTTTCCCGTGCTATTGTGTGCACCACTAAGCCTGCACCCTGCCCCAGTGTTCAGTTCACTAGTAGCTTAGTCCCCCACCCTCATCATGGTGGTGGCAGTAACTCCTACTCCTTCTTCCTCCTAGGCCTCTTGGAAGAGCGAGCTCTCCTGTTGGGGCGCATGGGGAAGCATGAGCAAGCTCTTTTCATCTATGTCCACGTCTTGAAGGACACAAGGATGGCGGAGGAGTAAGTCAGCCTGACTCTCGAGGTGTCTCCCAGCAGCCCCCAGGGAGCTGCGGACCATGAGAGGCTCAGAAGGCAGCTCCCCACTCGGCTACAGGCGTACAGCCTGTCTTCCCTACCCGCCCTGGTCTTGGCCATCTTAAGATGTTCGGGGGGCTGCTTGGAGTCTTTCATCCTGATCTACCCCCTTACCTGTGCTCACCACTTTTTCCCTTGCAGGTACTGCCATAAACATTATGACCAAAGCAAAGACGGCAACAAAGATGTGAGTGAGTAGTGGCCCTGGCCCAGGGAGCATGTGTGCCTTTTTTCTCCTTAAGCAGACTTCACCCCATCAGTGTGCCCTTGGATGGCACTGGTGTGAATTGCTAAAGGAGACGAGGCATAGGGCAGTGCCCTGAGTTTTGTATGTGTTTGAGGGAGAGGCAGGGTGACCATCTGTCCTGGTTTGCTTGGGATAGTTCTGGCTTACATCTGTTGTCATCCATGTGATTATTAATAGCACCCCTGTCCCTTTACTCTTAAGATTTGTGTAATAACTTATGTGGGCTGGCACATGCCTATAATCCAAGCACTTGGGAGGCTGAGGCGGGAGGATCACCATGAGTTCAAGGCTAGCCTGGACTATATAGTGAGTTTAAGGCCACCCTGAACTATGTAGTGAGATACGGTCTCAAAAAACAAAAATGTATGTGGTCAGCCCAATAGAGAAAGAACATCTGAGAGGTCCGGCCTTTAGATGTTTGTCAATGTCTTCAGACATTTGTGATTGTCATGACTTGGGGCACGGATGCTGCTAGAATGCAGGCAGTAGAGGCCGGAGGAGCTGCTAAACAATGTACAGGACAGCCCCAACCACGATGAATTACCCCGCCCCAAATGTTGAGTACCAAGGTAGAGAAACCGAATGGCACTGCTATTGGAACCACTGAGAAATGTGTTCCATCTAAGGTTAATCCCTGCCCGCCAAAAGGTGGCCAGGGTCTCGGCTTTCAAAGCCAAAGAGAATGAGCAATCCTTTTCAATTATTTTGCATTATTAGCATTTTATAAGTGGTATAAAGTTAAACAAATACAAGGCATTTGCTCAGGGGAAAAAGCAGTCTTTAACACCCTCATTGGCTGTTTAAATTTCCTGAAATTTTAAGAGGTGGAAATGATGAGCTTTAAATATTCCCCAAGCATGGGGCTGGGGATTTAGCTCAGTGGCACAGCGCCTGCCTGGCAAGCACAAGGTCATGAGTTCGATTCCCGGTACTGGAAAAAAACCAAAAGAAAAAAAAAAAATTCTCCAAGCACTATTGCTGTAGACCAACTCCCCTAATCTTCAGGCACATTCAGTCTGGCTGGGTGCTGTCCCCTGATGTGTGTGACTTGTGTCTATGTGAGACAGGTGTATCTGTCGCTGCTTCGGATGTACTTGTCACCCCCCAGTATTCACTGCCTTGGGCCAATGAAGTTGGAGCTGTTGGAACCACAAGCCAACCTCCAGGCTGCCTTGCAGGTCCTTGAGCTACACCATAGCAAGCTGGACACTACCAAGGTCAGACAGGTCCTCAGAGGGCTGTGGGGCACTGGATGGGAAGAGGGGTGGGAACAGGGACCAGGGTCTGAGAGCTCTTGTCCTACACTGTTTTCCAAGTCACTCCTGTACTGCCTCAACCTATCCCCGCTTCTGTGCCTGTCCTTAGGCCATCAACCTTCTGCCAGCAAACACTCAGATCAACGACATCCGCATCTTTCTGGAAAGGGTGTTAGAAGAAAATGCACAAAAGAAACGGTTCAATCAAGTGCTCAAGAACCTCCTCCATGCTGAGTTCCTGAGGGTATGGGTCTTCCAGACTCAAGGGTGGCCTTGTTTCATAGTGTGACAGTTTCCACATGGTCCATTCCCAGCAAGGCAGAGCTTTATGTACCTGGTCAGCACAGGCTGACCCAGCCAGCTTGACACCTAACTGGAGGTGTTCGAGTGAGGAGAACCCGGACCCTGACAGGAAGCCATGTGACCCCTCCTTCCGTTGTATGCACAGTCATGGAGCTTCTCCCCCAAACTCTCTTCCAGGTGCAAGAAGAGCGGATTCTGCACCAGCAGGTGAAGTGCATCATCACGGAGGAGAAGGTGTGCATGGTGTGCAAGAAGAAGATCGGGAACAGGTGAGTCGCCTGTCCTCGAAGCTTCTGAGCACGATGCATGCTCTCCAGGGGCAGGCAGCACTCAGGACCCTGGGGAAGGCACAGCTGCTGGCTGTCCTGACTAGCTCTGCTTATTGTGCATCCAGAGGGCAGGCCATGCGTCTGTTGGCAGTGGCTCTGAGAATTGAAACGTGTAGTATGGAGTCTTGAATTCTTACACCAAAAGATCTTTCCTTTTAGCAGTTAGAAATAGTGATGTGGCTGGTGTGTGTGAGAGACATTTGTGGGCTGCAAGTCCTTATTTTTTAAGGATGAGTCTCTGAAAGGATACAGAGATCTTTCAGCCTGCTGTCTCATAACTGGAGCAAGCTCCTGAGCTGGCATCTTACAGTGTGAAGACATGTTCCAGCCAGCCTCCTCACCTTAAGGGACACCTCGTCCCTTTTTGTATGGCTGGAAGACTGCTTCCTTTCCGAAGGCCTAACTCACTGTCCTTTGTTAGAAATGACCTGCAGCTTATTGTCTTGAGTGTTGTCAGCCAGCGAAGCAGGACTGAGCTTTCGCTCTGTGTGTGTGTGTGTGTGTGTGTGTGTGTGTGTGTGTGTGTGTGTGTTGGGGATTGAACCTAGGCCTCATGCATGCTAGGCAAGCACTCTACCACTGAGCTACACCCCCAGTCTACACTGATTTTTTAATAAGAAATATCCCCTCCCAACCCTCAAGTGAGTAAGGTCAAGTCCTACCCAGGCTATGTAGTGAGACCGTATCTCAAAATTTTAAAAATAATTTTAAAAATTAAAAACATTTTTTAAAAAAGCCAGTGAATATAGATTAGGGTAGAGCACCCCTGGAGTCCTGGGTTCAGTACTTGGTGGGTGGGGGGGGACAGAAATGTCCTCCCACACTTGAACTTTGTGCAGCTCATCTTCTGTTCAGTTTCTTACCAGAGATGGTGGCCAGGAACTCAGGCCCTTGGGCAGCTGTCCCTTGGGGTCAGAGTGTACCGCTTCTGGTTCCTAGATGGGATGCCTCTGCCTCTGGGGGAGGAATCTGTGCAACTCATCCTCACTCCTGAGCCTTTTCCCTCCCTGCAGCGCATTCGCAAGATACCCCAATGGAGTGGTCGTGCACTACTTCTGTTCCAAAGAGGTAAACACGGCCGACACCTGAGCCCAGCACCTGAGAATGCAGCAGTGGACAGCATGGCTCTTCGAGAAAGGTGAAGGAACAGCCGGGCTGAGAATCGGGGTCTGCCATCACCAGGTGTCACCCCGTTTTGACACTGCTGGCTGCCTTGCACCCTGGAACATGTCTGACTAATTAGACTCACGGTCTGGCCTTGCCAGCTTTTTAATAGAAAAAGAGATTAGTTGTACCTTACACCATTGAGTTGTGGGCAGTTCCAGAGAATCCATACCCGCTTGGACAGGAGACCACCGTCTTGCCTTCGCATACCAATCACCTGGGAAAGGAGACTCCTCCCAAAGACTGTGCCACCGAGTTCACTGAGAGTTTGTTGTTAAAAGAGAGTGCAGCCGGGTGTGGTGGTGTACGCCTGTAATTCCAGCACTCGGGAGGCTGAGGCAGGGAGATCGTTGCAGCCTGGGCTACAAAGCGAGTTCAAGACCAGCCTGAACTGCAAAATGAGACCCTGTCTCAAAAAGAACAGAAAAAAAAAAAAAAGATAAGTGCACAGTCTCACAGTCTTCAGCATGACTGCCTGGCGAGACCACGGGAGGATGATACCAGTCCCTTCAGCCACGAAGAGTAAGTGGCTGATTGTCTGTGTCATGCCAGTGGTTCCTCCACAGCAAATGTGCCCTATGTGCTCCAAGACTCCCTGCTTATCTCTTTAGGTGTCATTCTCTTTTTACTTCTCACTATTTACTCCCCGCTCCACCCCCTTTATCACCTCCCTCATGGCACTACCCAAATGCTGCTCCTCTCCAAGACATCAGGATCAGCTAATATTTAAATGAGGTAAAATGAGAAGCAGGAGGACGTCTGGGTTCCCAGGAGCACACTGAGTGGTCAGGTACATTGTGACTAGGTCCTTTTGGCTGTGTGTTGTCTGTCCAGAAACTTAGGGGAGCACCGTGTATGCCCAGGAAAGGACCTTGGCGCCTGCCCATGGGGGCACAGCACAGCTTTGTGGCCTGTGACGGTGGCCTGCAGAGGCACCTGCTCCTGCCTCACTCCCCAGCTGCTCAAGCAGGTCTGTCAGCCTTTAGGAGTGGAGTTCTCTGGGCTTTGGATGCCTTGCTCTGTTCCAGTTTTGCCCTCTGGTCTTGCAGCAGGGCCTGGCCATCACTCCTCCCTTTGTTCTATGAGGATTGGAGGATGGCAGTGGGATGGCACAGGAAGGAGGATCCCTGGCCCACTGGGAACAGCCAGGTTGGGAACTGATTGTGACATGATGCCAGCATGTTTGTGATCTGTCCAGGGACAGCAGAGAGCAATGCAGGCAGCAGGCAGGGCCCTGCGTCCTGTCCTCCCCGAGGACAGGAGGGCCCACGGGGACCCTGCCTGCCAGAGGTGCACAGGTGGGGCCTAACTGGGGCATGTGGTCCTGCATCCTGTCCTCCCCAAGTTTTTGGTAGACTTGCAGTCTTCGTGCCTCAGTGCCTTTAAAGGCAATGCAGGTGGTAATGGTGCCCAGCACTGATGCCGTCTAGTAGCCTGGCCTTGACATATCGAGGCGCTGGTAAACCTCAGAGCTGTGTTTTGCTGTGGGCTGACTCACCAGGCATGAGTGGACCAGGCTGCTCAGGGCAAGCTCTTACAGAGGTCAGAAGAGACCAAGAGAGAACATGAGCAGCATTCACAGCCATGGGGGCGCCCTGCGCAGGTCTGCGAGCCCCCTGGAACAGCCACCACAGCCATCTGTGAAAAACATTGCTGCCGTGGCCCCAGCAGACTGCTTCCTCCATGAAACGCCTGATGGCCCTGCCGCAGGGCTGAAACTTCCCTGCCGCTCGAGCCCTGCCTTCCTGGCCTGCTGTTCTGTATCTTCCATTCTCGTGACCTGTGTTTGACACAATAAAGAGCACACAATAAAGACTGCGTGTTCCTTTTCCACACTGTTGCCCCAAACTCCGCTCTTCCTTCCCCGAGAGACAGTGCGCTGTAGCGGGGACTAGTGGAGGTCTCTTAACGCTCAGTAAACAGGGCTAGGCAAGAGGCCAAGTCTGTTTGGGTCTCTTTTTTCCCCCTTCCACAGACTTTGGTGAAAATGACAATGAAAGGATAGTAATTTAGCTAAGAATAGAGAACAAGCTAATGCTAAAGAAAAGCAGCACAGCACTGTTCTGTCAGTCCGCTGAACAGCACAGCAGGCAAAGCTGTGGGCTGAGTTGACAGCACAGGCAGGAAATATTTCCATTTTCATGGGAGTCCTAGATAATCCAGATTGTCTCCCCTGTCCCTTCACACAGCAGGGCCTAGTGCCTTTTCCTGTGGCCACGATGGCTGGGAGGGTGTGTGTCAGTGACCTCTCTTTGCTGGGACGGAAAACCTCACACTGCCAACGTAAAGGTGGTGAGGTTTATTTTGGCTCCCAATTTGCATAGGTTTCACTGGCTCCAAGGCAGGCAGCATGGCTCATGGCAGGGCAATAGCTCATGAGAAATAGCTCATGGCGGGGCAGCGGGAAACAGCTCAAAGGAAGAAAAGGAAGATAGGCTTCCAGGCCATCTCCCCAGCAACCCTGCTGTGACCAGGCTCTACCTCCCAAATCGCAGCTAGCTGTGAGCCCCTCGGTGGACTCATCCACTGATGGATGTCACGCCTCCACGGTCGAGTCACATCTCAAAACCCCCACCCGTGAGTGCCTGAGGCTTTGTGGGGACATCTAGATACAAACCAGGACAGCATGCAAGGGGATAGAGTTGGTAGGAGTGAGAGACCCAGGGACATTTGAGAAGTGGGGAAATGCAAGTCTCTGGCCAGTTCCAAAAGGCAGTGTGATCTGTCTCTACTGTCCCCCTCTTGAACTGTCTGTGACGGTTCTGAGGTTTCTCTGGAAATGAAGACTATCTGCAACTATGAGTCATGACTTCATTAAGCACGGGGCAGGTGACCAGAAGAGAGCGAGGCCCAGGCCAAGCAGCACTCCAGGGCATCAGGAGCCTGGATCCAGCCTGGTTCTGCCACCAGTTAGCCCTCCTGCTGCGCGTCCAGGAGTGCCCTCCACGTTGTTCACAGAGACACCAACGGAACTGGATACCACACACGGTCCACAATAAGCAGAAACGCTCTGCCTTGAGTCCTGGCCACTGGCACGCACCCTTGTGATTGTGTCTGAATTTGTCCAATTGGTTCATTTTGGACTTGAGTCATCTTTTGGGATGTTGTCCTTTCGGCCTCCAGGGGTAGGTCTTGAGAGTGGAGTCGGCTCTTGCGTGAAGTCATGTATCTCCCCAACATTTCACTGTCCCAGGAGTCCTGTCTTTCCCTGGAGACTGTGCCTACCTCAGCCACCTAGATGATCATAGTCTAAAGGAGGCTGTGAATGTCCATACCAGTGATAGCGAACCTTTTAGAGCTTTCAGTGGTAACAAACAGCCTGCTGCAGCGTGCTGTAGGTTCACCACCACTGGTCACACAACAGAGGTGGCCCTCCCACCTTTGCCATTCAGGGTGGAGTACAGGCCCAGCATGCAGCCGGTGCTCAGTGTTTGGGGGATAAATGAGGGAGGCCAAAAGAGACAGGAAACATCTTGAAGTCCAGATGAATCCCTGCCCCAGCGACTGAATGGTTAGGTTTAGGCCTTGGAAGCAACTGGAGGCCAGTCCCTGCTACAGCACTTCCTGATAGAAATAGGGTTACCTGGACTCAGCTTCCCACACTCACACCCAGTAAATGGGACCATGGTAGGTGGGGGATGGAGCTCTCAGGTGACCACCCCCGCAACCGGGGCCTGGGTTTGGGAGCCAGAGTGCTAACTGGAGACTCCAGGAGTCTCTTGCAGAGGGCTTGAACTGCCTCCTGCCTGAAGAAATCAGACTCCAGCCACTTCCTGGAGAGTATCAAACCCCACCTCCAGCTGAACCCTGGTTGCTCCACCTTCCCCGCCCTAGTACTACCTGTCAGACCTGAGTGGCAGTGAGTCTAGTCAGAGAGCTGGCGGAGAGTAGAAGGGCTCTCTGTTAGGAACTGCACTGCCAGCCATGCTCAGGGACCTCTGGGCAAAGTGGCTGGCGGGCAAAGGACTGCCTCTCCTAGGGGCAGTGATGCTGCAGAGGAGAGAGAAGAGGGGATCTCAGTGGAGGCACTGGCAGGTAAGGGACTGATGTCATCTGGGAGACATGGACTGGACAGTGCTGGGAGCTGCGGTCCCCTGTGAGGATGGAGCCCACCCCCACGTAGGCTCTTGACTTGGAGTGGGACCTATTTGCTCCAGATGACCTGGCAGAGCTTAAGTTAAAGATGTTGGCCAGTGGCTTGGCTCTTGAAAAGAATGCCCCCCACCCCAGTAAGAAATGGAGAACATCATGGGACACTCACCTTCCATTGGCTGGTTCTGCTAGGACCGTTGTAGCCTGGCTGTATAGAACCCGCGGTGGGGAGGAGTAGGAGCTTTTAGGGATGGTGAGGGGAGTCTCACTCCCAGAAGTCTGTGCTCTGCTGTTATCTCTCCTGATCCCAAGCTGCAGTCTCCTTAATGACTCGTCAGACCAGTACAAGCTGGAGAGCTGGTGGCTCCTGGCTTCCCTTCCCCTGTCTGCTTCTTCCTGTGTACCTCCAGTCTCAGTCAGGGAGCTGATTGGATGTGGTGGATCACAGCTTCCTTTTTTCATGTCTAATGTCTTTAAACACGTTATCCAGCTCTCTGGCTACCGAAAGACCACCCTGACTTGAGCAGAGCTGAGATTTGTAGTCCTGATAACCATGATTGGTTCAGACAGCTTATGATGGAGCTGAGACGTGAGCCAGGCTTGATGGATTCTAGGGTCCAGGCCCATCAGCAATGCTGAACCCCCAGTGCCCGCTCATGCAAAGGCATCCCAGGCACAGACCTCCTGGCATGGTGACATCCGTGACCTTGAGCTGGAATTGCTGTAGGAGGAGACCAGGCCTCACCAGCTTCCTGAAACTGAGTGCCTGGCGTTCTGTTGTTTCAGCGGGAAGCCCACCCATACTATGACCTCCAGGTGAAGGTACTGAAGGCCAGAAACATCCAGGGCACAGACCTACGTGAGTGACCATCTTTTCATGTTCTCATTTTCCTTAAGGCCTTGCCAGACTCCACTCAAGATGCGCATGCACACATTTGGAGTGGGTGGAGGACTGGTGCTGACCTTGGGAGGGGAGCGTTGTGCAGACTCTGGACACCTCCCTGCACCTAAGGGGCAAGCCTGTGCATGTGTAAGGCCAGCGGTCATACGCCGATGCCTGCTCTCCAGGAGCTTTCTAGGCTGATGCTTCCGTGAAGGCAAGAGTTTTATTGCCGCGGGCAGTTTCTGGGAATTACCACAGCCATGTGACAACTGGCTACTGGCCACTGCAGGACTTCTGATCAGCTGCATGGGAGGTGCATATGGTCAAGATGGATCCAAGGACACCAAGGCTCTCCCCCACGCGTGCTGCATGGGCAATCTCCTCTCCTG